GCACGCAGGGGAGGTGTGCTGCATGCAGAGCTGGGTGTCCTGCTTGCTGCAAGAGGAAATCTGGGAGAGAATTGCAGAATACCTTGCAGCTGTGCTCCTAATGACATGCTTGAAAAATGCAGAACCAGAGCAGAGAAATAACCTGGTGTTCAGTCTTCAGTGCTGCCACTGCAATGGAATTTAGGGCTGCCTTGTGATGTCTGTCTTACAGATGGTTCTCAGCAGCCAGAATGCTTTATAAATGGAAAAGAAAAATCATTTTGATGTCACACATCAGGGGTAAAATGAGGAGCGAAGCCCACAGCTGAAGAGCTGCAGGCTGGGTGTTGTGCCCTACCTCTCCCCACATCTCACAGTGCTCAGCTGAGGATGGATCTGTAATTCCAGTAACAGGGGAAGTATGCTGACAGCAGGGATGTTGGCACGTTATAGTGTGAAAACTGCAAACCTCAGCAAAAAGTTCACTGAGAGAGAAGAGACTAAACAAATTAATCCCCACTGGTACTTTCCTTCTTAATAGCAGAGACTTAGGAATATTTTAAGTGTTTATTGGTAAGCTCTAAAGGAGTTTTAACGTTACGTATTTTTATATTTAAAAATCCTCTTTACCCCAAATCTCTCTAAGGACAGGAGTGAAATCTTTCTCAGCTATTCATTTGCAAAGGCTGTGAAAGCCAGACATCAGACTGCACCATTCATAATCCCTAACCCTTTCCATGGCAATAAGCAAAGCACAAACCCAACTGCTGAACCATTACAGCAAAGAGTTGAGGAATGCTGATGAAGGCTGTGGTAGCTCTGGGTGTTTTAACAACTTATTATTATGAGAGAAAGTTGGAAAAGGTAAATACCCAAAATATGAGGCATGTTTTCAAGGCTGATGTCATCTCATGTTCAGTAATTTTTGCTGGCATTTCTGGAGAAAATTTGCTCACTGGTGACATCATCTCCATTTCTTACTGCAGTTCTTCACTCTCTGGAGCTGCCTCTTCTTGTTTCTTGATTCCTTTGCCCTCCAAGAAGTGGTTAAATTCTCCAATTACACTTTACTATGAGACATGTTGGCGTTGCATGTCCTCAGTCATGCTTTGGGGAAATGTCATCAATTTAAATGACAAGGGAAGCCCTTTCTACTAGTTCCTCTTTGATCTAAACATCAACATTCTTGTCCATGGGAACGTTTTGTGAGCTGATCTGGTGCTGCACACAAACCAGCTGTCAGAGAAAGCTTTTTTAAGTGGAAACCAGCATCCTGCTTTGCATGGGGGAACAAAGCATTATCTGGGCTCTAGGGCATGGTTTTATGCCCAACCCTCTCATCATAGGGGTCAAAGCCCCATATACAGTTTCTATCTGGGAAGAAAGCTGTGTCTTTCCCTATGGAATATCCACATAAAGCAAGAGGATGAAACCAACTGGGTGTAAGTGATCCTCCACTGTAACTCACAGGGATTTACATAATGCTGAGATCTTCCTATAGAGATCTGGGGTCATTCTGTGGCAAATTTTATGGCAGGGATAGAAGTTTTTACAGCTGTTTGTTAACATCATACCCCACTCATTGCCGTGAGACAGTTCACAGTCTCCAGAGCTATTTTTATTAATCATGTTTGTTGTTGGTTTGCTCGTTTCCTGAGGGACAAGGGGGATGTAGGCAGATACAAGGCAGCTAGCAATCCCAGTGCAGGGCTGCTCCAAAATGGGCTGCAGAGAATTTCTCTCTACAGGCTGCAAGTCTTCAGGATGAATGAGCTGTTAATGCAAGGCAGTCTATTTGTGTGGGGATCCACCAGATCCTTCTTGATGGAAAGAGATCCCTAGGGAGCTCCTGCTTTGTGCCAGGGATTGCATGCGTACATCAATAGGACAATGTCACACCAAGGCAGGCAGAATTGCTCCACATTGGATAAAGCAAAGCTCCATGCTTGCCATGCTCTTTTTGCTGTGCTTTTAAGGAGTTACCACTCATTCACAGGGACTTTACATGCTGTAGTCAATATGAGCTCCTGGTATATCCAGCTTTGAGCTCCCGGGCTATAAGATGAGAGCACTTTGGCTTTCTCAGCTTAAGCATCTGCCAGCAAATGAATGCAAGTATTGTTTTCCAAACAATAAATACATTATTTCAGCCGTTTCATTCCTATTGTTGCCCACCCCAAAATAAAAAAAAATGCCAGAAGAGATTTCAAACACATCCCTAAGGCAGGGCAGCGGGGGACCAGCACTGCAGGTGGAGGGATTGGCATCAATTAATTGACCAACATTTCCTTTGGTCCTGAGGCTGGGCGAGCTGTTTGCCAGAGGCACACCCCCCTCCCCAAAAAGCATCATAGTGGGGTGTAGCAGATGAATGCTCCTTTGGAGGATAAGCAGCTCAGATGGGAGTGTGCTAATGGCAGTCTTGCATCAAAATTAATAATAATTTTTAAAAATACATGAAACGTATAAAAATCATCTGGCCACTCAGTGAATAATTTTCCCCGGGGCAAACTGGCAGTTGAAACGCACAGATAATGATGGAGGGTGGGAGCAGCTCCTGTTAGTCATTTCATCTTCCCCAGCCCCAATCCCCACTGTGCCCTCACCCCAACGGGTCGTACCATGAGCCACACTCTCGTGCTTAATGATCCAAAATTTGCTAAAGGAGAAAGCCTGATTCCAGTCAGTCTTGCCTGCCTATGGGCAAACCTCAGAGCCTGCTGAGGGTGACTACAGGCTGGGGTTTCTGTTTGTAGGGAAGCACAGCCCCCTCAGCTCCCAGCACAAGAGGGGCTCGTCCATCAGGTTGGGCTGTGCTCCTCAGATCGCAGCCAGGATGCCTGAAGCAATGCGGAGAATTGCAGCCAGCTGTGCTTATGGTTTTCACTGGCTTAACCCATGTAAGGATATTGGGTTTTAACCCCAAAATCCTACTGTGTGGGACCTGGCAGGAGCAGCACTGCATGCTAAGGCTTCACTTCATGTCAGCTAAAGCTAGTAAGACATAAGCTGGAGAACCCTCTTGGATTTTGTCCAAGCTGGAGAAGCAAAACCACACATTAAATATGTAACACACAAACCTTAGCACGTGTTGGCTCTGGTTTCCTTGCTCCTGATGCCACATGCAGAAGATGGCATTCCCTCTGCTCCAGCTGTGTTTGGTTCTCTTGAGCAGCTCTTGCCTCATCCATCACTCTGTGTCCTAGCTGACCATGCATGATATATCCCTTCCCTCCCAGTTTCTGTTCTTAAGATTCCCATTACGGAGTGAACCTTACCTGCTGCTGACAGACAAGACCTTTCTCATCCTACCTCATGATAGGTGGATGCAGGTGATGGATCTGCCAGGGAGCTCACCCAGTCTCACCCCTGTCATGGAAAGAGAAGGACAGGGCCTGATGGCTTGTCTCTGGCTTGAAGAGCAGCAGGGCTTTAGGAAGACCCTCCTGGTGGAAATAAATAACATTATTTCAGCACCAAGTCTTTGCTGTTCTTATTTCTAGCTTGCAGGAGCTGGTGACAGTCCAAGATCCTGGTGGATGGTCACTTCCCAGTCCCCCAGGCACCTAGGATTAGTCAAATGCTCATCTTAACGATGGCTAAATGAAAAAAGAATTGGCTGTCTGCTGCACAGTCCTGTGTTGTAAGGCCAGGAAATTAATTTGTGCAGCTGCCATTTGGATTGGTGCCATCCACGCGTTTCCTGGGAAGATTGCTGTGCTCTCTGGATGCCTGCAATGTATCTCCTGGTCCCTCCACTCACACACACAGCAGCTGGGAAGTTTCTGGGCCACGAAGAAAGGAGAAAAATTATTTCCTAAAGGAGCCCTTCACATTTCACAGCCACTTCTAGGTGAAATTCAGTCCTTTTGCTTCCAGCACAACAGGCAGGTGCCTTTCTATTAGAGCAGAAAACTCACATCGTTCTGTGTGAGCCTGTAAAGGGATCAGGGAGCCACGAATGAAAAAGAAACTTAGTTCTTTCCTCTGGGGTATTCCCTGAACACAAATGGCTTTCTGTGCTCCCTGTCCCTTCCCTAAAACTTTGCATGGAGCAAAGCCTTTACCTGTACACCATACTGGATGAGCACCAGGGGCTCAGCACCAGGCTGATAGGAGCTATTAGCATGCATAGGGCTCTTCCCTCCTCCTAACTCAATCAGAATAATTCATCAGCAAAAAACCCTCAGTGTCAACTTCCTCTGACAGGTTGTGATTGTAGATGTGCTCTCTGATTCACTTTGGGAGACAAATTGACCAGTGCAGCTCATCGAAGTCAGACTAACGAGTCTCTGTAGGGTCACTGGGAGCACTCATTTATTTATCTATGGATTTGGCCATGGTGCTCATCTCCCAGAGCATACATGCCTAAGCCCTGAGCTGCCAGCTTCTCCAGGAGAGAGTGTGGGGAGGCAGTGCCACAGATCTTACCAAAGCCCAGGTAGATTACATCAGAAGCCCTTCCCTCATCCACCATGCAGTCACCCGATCGTAGGAGTCACACAGGACAGAATCACAGAATGGCCAGGGTTGGAAGGGAACTCAAGGACCGTCAATCTCCAACCCCCCACCACACGCAGGGCCACCAATCTCCACATTTCATACCAGCCCAGGCTGCCCAGGGCCCCATCCAATCTGGCCTTGAACACCTCCAGGGACAGGGCATCCGCAGCCTCTCTGGGCAGCTGTTCCAGTACCTCCCCCCTCTCACAGTAAAGAACTTCCCCCTGACATTCAACCTAAATCTTCCCTCCCTCATCTTAAAACCATTTCCCCTTTAGGTTCTGAAAGGCTGCAATGAGGTCACCCCACAGCTTTCTTTTCTCCAAGCTGAACAAGCCCAGTTCTCTCAGCCTGTCTTTGTAGGAGAGGTGCTCCAGCCCCCTGATCATCCCCTGGCCCTCCTCTGGACCCTCTCCAATGCTGGCCATGACCTGGCAGTGCACTGTTGTCCCACCACATAATCACACTCAAGACAATACCCCCCACATTCACACCTCTTTCGTTTCCTTCCCATGCAGTCTGAAAGCTGTGCTGATGGGGAAGCCCCAGGACAACACGGTGGACTTGTCGGGCATCCCGCTGACACTGAAGGACCTGGAGCGCGTCACGTCGTACCTGCAGCACAGCTCGGAGCACATCGACACGGTGGAGCTGTGCTTCACCGAGCTGACAGATGAGATGCTGCTGCAGCTGCTGCCTGCACTGTGTGGCCTTCCTCACCTCACCACGTTGTCCCTCAACGGCAACCGGCTCACCAAAGCCATCCTGCGGGACCTCACCGAAACCCTGAAAGACCCCAAGAAGTTTCCCAGCGTCACCTGGATCGACCTCGGGAACAACGTGGACATCTTTTCCTTGCCTCAACCCTTCTTGGTCAGCCTGAAAAGGAGATGCCCGAAGCAAGGCAACCTGCCCACCATTTTGGAGTTTGGCGAAGGGCAGGTCAGCGATTTGGAGAACCAGGATGGCCTGGCTGAGAGTCAGGAGGACCTGCGGAGTGAAAGTTGCAATGAAACCCCATTGGGCAAAGCAGAGGGCAGGACAGTGGAGGAGCAAGGCGCCGAGACACCGCAGACGTGACATCGGCTCCACGTTGGGTACATTTGGGTGACAAACCCAAGATCTCCTCATCAGAGGTCCTGGCAGGGGTGAATGCAGGCGGTGGGATGCTCTGGGAGTACATTGCCTTCTTCCCCTGCGATGAATATCAGTGCTGCTCCCATCATGCAGAAATGGGATGGTGTTGTATACTTGTATCTCATTCCCTGTTCATCGCAGGGCAGTTGGACTAGATGACCTTGCTGGGTCCCTTCCAGCTCAAATGATTCTATGAAAAGCCAGAAGGGTGTTTTTAAATGAGAGCACTGTGCTTTTTAACCTCTCCAAATACGAATCGCCAAAGTGTTGGAACATGAGGCCCTTAGAAGCACAAAGGGGAGCAGGAAGGCGACCAGATCCAGCAGGATCCCAGCTGGTCACCCCCACACAACAGATGGACAGACTTCACCCACAAGCACTGCACAGAACTGCAACCTTCTCCCATACCAACTTCAGGAGCTGCTGAATACCGTGCCTGGTGAGATCAACACAAAGCCTGATCCCTCTCCAAGGGAACCACTCCAAGCAGGGTGTTCCCACTTCCAGCCCCACAGCAGAGCTTTGCTTTCCTTGTGCTGGCATGGAGCTGGACCGCAGTATGCTCATCACCTGGGTGCTGCTCCCCAGCCTTACTGAGTCCAGCCTTACTCAGGCTGGCCCTGCTGCCTGCCCAGTGCTCACCCAGCCCTAAAATCCAGTTGCTCACCTGCTGAGCTGCTGTGATGACTTCACAGCTTCCCATTCTTGCACCAGAGCCCTCTGTGTGTTTGGGGGAGCAAAATGTAGTGTCTGAAGCCGGGGCTCAGGTCAGGCTCATTGCTGTTGCTGACAAAGGAGACCACAATACTGAAGGTTTATACAAGAAAAAGAACAAACCTTGGGGCTCTTCCCTCTATCACTGCCATTCAGGTTGGGTGGATACGGCCAGCTGAAGGTCCAAAGCACACCGAGGCTTTCAGATCACTTGGCCACATCCTTCCTGACCCAGAAGTGCTTTGTTTGTACAATGCCGTTTTGGTTTTTGGCTTGTTTTTATTTTACTCTTTTTTTTAGTAACATTCTTCTTATTTCTGGATGGAAAACAGCTCCCAACAGAGCACAGCAATTCGCACTTTGGCTTCTAAGCCAGAATTTCATGTGATTCAATGGGTTGATGGTTGGACTAGATGATCTTAAGAGGTCTTTCCAACCTGAATTATTCTATGATTCCAAACCCAAGGGAAGCTGGGAGAGTGGGAAACACTTCCCCTCCTTTACAATGCACAGACCAAACAGACCTTCCCTTCCCAAGAGGGAGCTCACCTGCCTCTGCCTGCAGCCCTTCCCCTGCACAGCTTTGCAGCATTGCTTTGCACCTGGGAGCAGTGACCTCTAGTTTTGCTTTTCTGAGTGCAAACAGCATTGTAAGCACTCCGACTTTTTGGTTGTCCCTCATTTCCCATGGCTGCACCAGGAAGCTGCACGCCTTTTGCAGGGGGGTTCATGCTGACAGTTGTTGTTTCTCCTCCAAGTACGTAACTTAGAAGAAGCTCTGCTGCTCGTTTTAATACACATAGCAAAGTTCTGTATGATTTGCATGTACCTAAGCCTTTTGTTTGTCTGGTTGTTTTTTAACGCTCTTTCAACTGGCATGAAAAACACTTTGCAGTGAATCAACTGTTCTGTTTGAAATAAAGGAGCTATCTGTAATCAAAATAAATGCCAATGTTTAATAAAATGTTGAGGTCTCCTCTGTTACAGCTGATGCCCAGCATCCCAGGTCTAGCCTGCAAAGCCACATATAGTGCTTCCCATAGTACAGAAGGCTGTTTGTTTTGGCCAGCAGCTCTTAAACAGACCTAAAAATAAGGACTCGAGAGCTGAAAATTAGAACGTTAATGCTGATTGAGGTCATTTGTCATCAAGGTGGGGAGGGAACATCCACCTTAAAATTGTGATGTCCATAATATCTTGGTGCTGGGGCTTGGTTAGTTACCCCCAGCAGCACCAGGCTGCTCTACTCAAGCATGGAGGAAGCTCACCTATAGGAAGAAGATGCATTCCTTCAGCAATAAGGCTGATTATTCATTTACAGAGTCAATGTCAGTGGGGGACCTGAGACTGCAGGGCAGGCGTGGGGGCTGGAGAGGCGGCAGCCACCCATCCCTGAGAGTGGGAAGGAGGAAAGCATCAAAGCAGCACTGGGAATGCCAAGGAGCACAGGAACACTTTGGCACTTCTGCTCAGTGGTTGCAGAGGAGATGCCCAGAGCCCACACAGAACCACAGCAGGGGAAAGGAAAAATGGAGTGGAAGCAGCATCACAGCAGGACAGACCCCAACTCCGGGTTGACTCACTGGGATTGATATTGCATTTGAGCACTGATGTTCCAGCACTTCCCTACAGTTCAGTGCACCTCATTTCAGCACTGGAGGAGGAGGATGCTCACGCATGGGCTGCTTTTGTGCCCCCAAAAAACCAAAACCCCCCACATCCCATTAACCAGCACTGTCTCACCTCCAGCTGCTATTGCCATGGAGACTGATTGACCTTATTAGCAGTACTCACAGAATGATGAAAACTAACAAACCTGTAACCTCTCCAGAGTGATGCACTGAGCAGAGGATTTGCCGGCACTTGCAAAAGAAGGGGTTCTCTGCTGCAGCCCTGCTCTTTGTCTCAGCAAAAAGCAGTTTGTAATACATTTCTTTTATTCCCTCCCAAGCACTCCAGAGAGAAAACCAATAGAAATTAAAGCAGAGGAGGTGGTGGGTATGGGTTGTTTTTTTTTGCTTATATTGGTACTTTGTGGCCTCAAGAGCGTACAGCAGGATGTGCATACACATTAGCAGGAAAATATGCTGCTTGGGAGCATGAAACATGCTTCTCTGGGGACAGTGCAAGGTTTCTACACACGGCACACATGTCTGGTGAGCTACCTGCAGAGTGCAGCCAATGGGAAACACTGATTTTTGGTATGATTTTTGGGTGGTCCAACCCAGAGCCAGGAGTTGGACTCAATGATCCCTATGGGTCCCTTCCAACTTAGGATACTGTATGATTCTATTCAATTATTTAGGATTTTGGGGGCTGCAGCTCAGTCATAACAAATGCTACAGTGATACCGTGGTTATCACAAGGAACATCAGCTCCTGGAAGAGGTTATGTTAAAGATTGCAGCTGCAATGCCACGGTGCCTGGGGTCCGACGTTTTTCTCCTTATTAGCAAGAGGAAAAGTGCTGGTGAGAGGAATCTGTTGCATTATTTACTGGCAGCTCGCAGGGGTGTGCTTAGTGCTGCTTGTGGAGGTAGCACAGCTGCTGGAGCTCAGCTGATAGGGGAAAATGTACAGAGCAGCAGCTGGAGAAGTAATGAAGTGTTATCCCTTAAGGGTCACCTGGGTGATACACAAAGCACTGAGCAGCACCAGTGGTGCACAGCCCTCACTGGAATCACTTTCCTTGGTGGAGCAATAAGAACGCTGCAGGACCCACATGGCAGATATGGAGCAGCAGGAAGGATCAGCTGTGAGCAGGGGTGGATGAATCAGGTCATCCTCCCATCGCCATCCATCATCTCCTGCATTCTAATGAGCAAACATTCCTCCCAGTTGCCACACTTCCATTCTGCTAAGACCACAACCCAAAATACTCGGTCTCTCATGTTGTGGTAATGCTACAGGTCTTGGCCAGGAGCAGGGCTCTCCTGTAGGAGATGCTTACAAACAGCCCCAGCGAGTTGTACTGGGAAGGGACAACCCTGGGTCTTGCTGCAGCACATGAGATGCAGTGCCCAGGTGGAAAACAGCAATTGCCCTTGGCAGACAAAGATCATGGCATGCTCCACCAGCACTAAATGCATCTGAAGCACATCAGGCTTGGAGTTGCTGTTCCTGCACCAAAGCTCAGAAACCAACTCCTGACATCCTAGAAAAAGCCATTCTGCTCCTTATAGGGATTATCAGTAACAAGACAGGCACTCCAGATCTCTCATTTCATGTCTGCTGAGCATCTGCAAAGCCATCTCTGCTGGAAGTTATTAAACTGTTCTGCTTTGCAATAGACACAAACTGCTTTTGTTACTCATCAGCAGCCTCCTGCAGGGCTCCCCCACCCTGTGGAGTTGCCCTGTGTGGTCTTCAGCCAAAAATCCATGCTTCCAGCAGCCCAGAGAGAAGCACCCGGCGGCTTCCAGGTCTTCTCCATGCCAGGGGAAGAAAATAAACCAGTGGAGTCTACACAGCAGCCCTGAGGAAGGCCTTTCTAAGCTGCATTTGGTGGATTTAGCCAAGCAATGGGTTGCAAGTATGACGGTCTAGTAGCCCTGTTGCTCCCTCTGTGTGGAAATCAGAGCCACACTGAGACCTCAGAGCATCGTAACACAGCACCTCTGTGTCAATAGCTGGGACACATGCAGTGACCCAGCCTGGTTATATGCAATACTACAACATAAGGGAAGGACAGGGGCCTTAATGAAACTGAGAAACAAATCCAGGTGTAAAACACAGGAATGAGCCTCCCTTTTCCTCTTTTGCAGCCACCTCTACTCCTGGCAAGACCTGCAGTTTTTATACAAATGAAACATAAGGCAGCAGCAAAGGACCCATCTGAGCACCATGCTCAGGAATGTGCTAATCCAGCTCTTCCCTATCAAACTCCTATTGAACTCTGTGCAGAGAATTACAGGCAAAAAAAAAAAACACAAAATGAAAGGGCATCCACCTTAGAGCTGCCTTCACGCATAGCTTTCCAATAGAACTTCACTTTTTTCTTTTTCACCTCCTCCACTGCACACAGATGCTTCTTAAATTACAAATACAAAGGGTAAGTAATTTCCCAAGCACTCTGGGGGAAGCTGTGCTTCACTGCAAGCTCAGAGCTCCCCTCCAACACACAGGCTGGAAACTGCTTCTCACAGAGCTGAAGGCGAAAATGCAACATTTCAGCTTTCTGTTCCACATTGTGCCCTTTGCCTGTCTCCATTTGCCAGGCAGACCTGACAGCTATGTTCAGGTTTTTGCTCAAGATGGACAAAGAGCAAGAGGGCCTTTTGCAAGCATGTTCCAATCCAACTGGCTGGTAGGCATTTTCCAGACAACATGCAAAAATTACTGTAAAATCAGGGGGTGTTCAGTCAGGAAAAATAGCAGAGGGATAGCTTACAGCATTGCAATGCTCAGCAAAGCATGGGCTCCACCTCAAGGTCTGCCCTGCTGCCATCCAGAGACAGCATCATGCTTCCAGCTGCACTCCCAAGGGAGAGATGGAAGGCATGAGCTGTGCTCCCTGCACATTGAGCCAATTAAGATCATCAAATCCAACTGTCCACCCATTCCCACTAAAACTGCACACGTCCAACAAGAGCCTGGTGTCAGCATCAGCACATTCAACACAGCTGACATAAATGGGATTAAAGCAGAATTCTCTGATGACTACATGCCGAATTCAAGCACTCTGTGATATCAGATAGAAAATGAGGTCCCAGTGTTTCTGAAGGGTATTTCTGAAGCAAATACAACAGAACATGAGACATTTTGTGTATTTCTGGGTACAGAAGTCTTTACTACCTTCTCACAGAATGGTTGGAATTGGAAGGGACCCCCCACAGGCCATCTGGCCCCACTCCCTGCAGTGCACAGGGACTCCCACAGCTCCACCAGGGGCTTAGAGCCCCTCCAGCCTGACCCTGGGGGTCTGCAGGGATGGGCACCACCACCACCACCCTGTGCAGCACCTCATCACCCTCATCGTAAACAACTTCTTCCTTAAATCCAATCTAGATCTCCTCTCTTAGTTGGAAACCATTTCCCCTTGTCCTATCACAACAGACCCTGCTCAAGAGCCTTGTATTTCAACCCACGTGCCCTTCCAGCTCATCAGTTCCATTCCCCCTCCCTCCCAGCCCACCAAAACCTTCCAAAACCTAAGCTGCCCCTCACAAGGAGTTCCTCCTGCAATCCCACACACCATCTGTAGCCCATTGATGCTTCCTCCTCCCTCCTTCACTGCTAGGAAAACCTGAAAGGTGGAATCAGACTCCACATTATCTGGGAAGTCACCATTTTTCCTACCTGCATTTTGTCTTCACAACAGAGATTGGCACCAACTCTTCTTCCTCTGCCAAGTTTGACCTGTGCTGCTGCTGCTCCACCTGAATGCCAAAGCTGCCAGCACTGCCCATTTTGCTGCTTGATCCTACCACTCAGTAGGGCAGATTAGATAATAAACATTGTAGTACTTCTTTTTTTATAGAGCACTAAATTGCATTAAAGAAAGAAGAACCCTGCCTTGTGCTCAAGCTGCTGTTTTTGAGGAGCGTTAAATGGAGGCATGTGTTTAAAATGAGGAGGAGGGGCACAGCCTCACCTGTGGCCCCAACAAGCACCAGCTGTGGCAGCACCAAGCTCAAGCCCTGATGAAAGCCTCCTGGCTTTTAATGAGGTTTGCGTGTTTAATGAGGTTTTCCAATCTCCAACTCAGGTTGTGCCACTCCTCACAGCTACCTGCTGTCCTCAAGACCAGATTGTCAGAGGTTGCAGGGGGGAAATTCTGTTTGCAGTTCTGCAATAATACCCTCTGTGAACCGACCCCTGCTGCTCACTCCCCATAGCAGTGCTTCTGGTTGTGCCAAGGGGAGGGCAGATGTTCCCCAACTATGGTGTAGCTGTTGCCATTTTCTGCTGCTCTCTGCCCCCAAAGCCAACTTTTTCCTCACCTTCAGTTGCTGACACGCTGCCAAGTGACACAGCGCTGCTGTCATCTCCAAAGACCTTTTTGAAGCTTAAAGGCAGCAGCTTTGAAACCCTTTTCCTTGATGTTTGGGTTAGCAAACAGCACAGCACTGACACACAGGCTCTGCACTGCCTTCTGCAAACATGGAGCTGCCCTGCAGAGGTGCTGCTTTGGAAGCACACAGGCTGGCTTAGCAAGGTGACTGGACACACTTTAAATCCAACTTTGGTTCAGAGACTTTCCATTATTTTCTAAAATCACTGTGGCATCTCATAGCTGCAGGTTTGTATCTGGCTTTGAGACAATTCTCATCATCTTCACAGCAGGTTCCCTGCATATTTCCCATCCCAAGGAGCACTCCGCATAAAGATTTTATTTATTTGCTGCTACAGCTGAAAGTAGCACACATACTTGATTTAACACACTTAAGCAAAAGTGTGTTGGCAACACCTTACCAAGCCCTTCCCTTTCACTCTATGATCCCCAAATTCTTCCTCTGTAGTATGGAGATGACACAGCTTCATGGGAATGCTGGCAGACCATCTCAAGGTTATCTGAAGGAGGCAGAAGAGATGTAAAACATTTCATCTGCTGTTGCTGTGGGCTAGAGTTGAATAAGAGTTCACCTGAGCAAACCTGAGCTCATCATCCTCCAAAGGGACCTGGAAAAGCAGAAGTGAGAAGGTGACTCAAACATCCAGAAAACAAGGTGATAAAAAACCAAAGGGAGCTCATAAAAAAAGTCAGAGGCTCATATTGAGAATAGCTGTGCAATTAATTTACAACAAGCCCTAACAAGTGAAAACTCTATTATGAAAAATCTAACTAATTGCAAAATTGAACAAGTGTCTGACAAAGAAACCCTCTGAATTATTGGAGATGACAGCATTTGAAGTTGATTAAAACTGCAGGGATTTTGAATGCCATCTCCCCACTTTGAATTATTTACTGCTTTGTAATTTGCTCAGGTTTCTCAGTGCAGGTGTTAGGCTGAAAGGTGTTTATTGGTTTCAGCTGAGCTGGAGCTCAACATTCACCACCATGGAGACGCACCTGGGCTTCACCGCATGGACTCCTGTCTGCACAGTGTTCTCCTCAGCCTTCCTGAATCAGAGCACAGGAGCTTACTCTTTTCTTACCGTGTTATTTTTGCATGCTCTACATCCAATTCCACCTGTTAGCTCCTTTAAAGTCAATCAGGTGCTACGAACATGCATGGAATGGTTTAAGTCCAACCCCCTTGCAGTGAACAGGGGTGCCCTCAGCTCTGTCAGGGGCCCAGAGCCCTGCCTGGCCTGACCTTGAGCTGAGCTCTGGATAAGGGTGAGGAAGGCCAAGGATCTCATTGGCATTTGGAGTCTTTTCCCTCCCAAGTAGCTCAGAGTCTCTGGCAGCTGAGGAATTGTAGCAAAGCATTTGTTAATGCAGCAGTTGGAAGTAAACAAACCCCTCAGTTTTCCTTGCATGACACTAATATCATTTTAGTCATCCCTGCTAGAAAACAGCAATTCCTCTCGCAGTGCCTTGCTCTCTCCTCCACTGATTTAAAATGATGAGGGAGAGAAGAGTTTAAAAATTAACTGCTCTTCTATCTACCTTCAAGAGATAAAGAGTGAAACATCACAGTCGAAAACCATCTTTATTCTGAAATATGCAGTAGATCACTTCCTCCCTTCTCATTAGGTGGATACAGGCAGCTGGAAGTGATTCAACCAGAACAGCAGCTACCAAGCCGTGAAAGAGCACATTATTCGGACTGGCTAATAGCTGAAATATATTAATTACAGTAATTCATGGTTTCACTGGTGCTTAATTTAATGCTTATGTACATAAAATTGCCTTACAATAACTAATCAAGAAATGATAGCCAGCACTGGCATGAAATGTGAAGCTTGCAGTTTATGACCATGCTGGAAAGGCAGCCATCTCCCTACACTCACTTCTCTCCTGAAGGCACCCACCACACCATGCTTGCTTTCTTATTCCACATCTTCCTCACACATTAGAAAGGACTTGGGGTGAAACCAACACACCTCCAATGGCATTTGCAAACCATGTGCACCATGTTACTGAAACTCAGCCTCCTGTTGTTCTCTCTTCCCTGGACAGAGATCACAGGTCAGCCTCTTCTTGTCTTGTTTAGTGCCCAACGTTAAAGAGTGAGGATTTCTGTCTTACCACAAAGCCATTATTCACATCACAGAGGGCATTTTTGAGCTGGCATCCTTGGCACCACCTCAGTACAGCAGGAAAGACACCAACAACGCGAGGTCTCTTGGAGCAGCCCCTCCACATCAGGGCAGCAGTTACAGCACGTCTTGGGGGACAGCAGCACCACGTGTCATCGTTATGCTTTCTCACAAATGAATTAACAACACAACATCATCTCCCTTATTGCTGTGAGCTGGCACTCAGCCATCTGTGGCTCATTGAACAACTGAGCCAAAAACTTGTTTCCATTTACAGAAAGCGTGGCCATGCTATAATTGTCATAAATGGTGCACAGAACCTCATTTAGAACAAAACCAGACTCCACGAGCTCCTTCTGAAGCCTTTAAAACATTCTTAACTACAATGTATATTATTAGCTGCTTGTAGCAGCTAAAAATCATCATCTGTCAACCAGTCCTAATACAAAAGCTCTTAAAATTAGGTGAAAATAGTTACATGACAGAGCCATATTCATTATTTTTTTCAACTTTGATATCTGACCAGGTATTTCAAAGGCTGCAAATGAACTGTACAAAATGGCTTCTAGGTCATTCCTAACCTCTTGCTACTTCTGAACTACCATTTTTGACTGACAGCTGCTGTGTCAGCCTTGCTTAAGGGCTGTTTCCTGGCACACATCCTAAGAACTTCGTATAGGATGGAAGTTTTGTCCCTTTCAAAAGCAACATCCATGTATGTTCCACCTGGAGCTGTACAGCTGATCTAAAAGCTTTAGATTCCCACTCCCACTGCATAAGCATACGGTCACATGCAATTAGTTTATTAATGTCATTACCTCCTTTCTACATACGCTCTGAAGTACATTAAAATCTTTCACTTGGTGACACCAAGTGGGCAAAATGGTCAGCAACATCTGCCTTCTTTACTCTTTACCACCTACAACAAAGACAGCTGTCAAGCCACAGAGGATCTTTTTCTTCCCATCTGGAAATCAGTTCCTATTTGAACCACTATTTAGAGAAAATATGTACAATTAGCTAGAACAAATGCTGCTGCTGCACAAACAGATTACACACTGTCCCCATCAGACCTTGAGGCCAAGTTTCAAGACTGAACAAGCTACAGAAACAGTTGCATTTGCCCTAATTTGAACATTTGCTTTTCTTGCTGTTGGGGTATTAGGGCCTAATCTCTACAGTAAGCACAGTAGCAATCTAGTTGTGTTTAAACTGCTTTAACTACCAAACACCAGACAGAATGCTTACAACTGAAGCCTGTTCACACAATCTGCAGAAACTTCACTGTCTCATGTATACACCCACTGCATCATATTACAGCAAATCATAGAAGCATGCATGTGTATCAAAGATGTGTTGGGCAATAAAGTCTCATTTCTTTATGCAATGAGTGACAAAAGCAGACTGAAGGTTTGGTTTTTGTTTTACAACTTTAATGTGTATCAAAACAGTCTGAACATTGTTTTATCTTCAAAGTTCATGCACAGAAAAACAGGTGGTGTTTTCAAAGATCAGCTGCCAAGCTCACTCGTGTTCCATTGGGTTCCTTCTTCCTCAAACAAACGTGCTTTCAGCATCAACACCTGCAATACAACGGCAGGAATAAGTTGACCATCCAACATTCGTTGCTTACCTTTTTGTTAATTTAAGTGATATCATCAGAAAAACCTTTGCTCACCACCAGTCAATCTGCCGGTAATTCCAGCAATTTTTGGTTAATTTCATCATATGATATCCTCAGATACATTGCTGTGTTTCTAAAACAAGCACCTTTGTTCTATACTGCTGTATATAGCGCAGAAGACAGCAGCTCCTGTATGTTTAACCTCAGTATTTCAGCCCAACAAAGTGCTGTTTTGTCCTACAACTTCATCAATCACTGTTTTAGAGCTAAAAACACACAGGAAAAAAAAAAAGGCCAATGAAAATGCTCTCAACCACACAACGTTTGTGAGACTGCAGCCCAAAAGCACCACAGTGAATTAAGAGCACACAGAATGTTACAACTCACCCACAACAAACTCTTCAAACTCTTGCTCTTCCAGTCTCACTTCTGTCCCAGGGCCGTGTGAAGGGCTGTAACATAAATAAACATTAATCATTATGATTCTATGATTAACAACTATGAGTATGTGGCAAGTGGTAATTATGTCTAAGGATCCCAGAAAATTGGCTTTATATTTTAAGTAAGAGAGGAAGGAAGAGGAAGGAAAGTAGACTGATTCAAGCCATGAAGGATAACCATACAAAATATGCTTCCCGTGTGTTTTTTTTGTTTTTGTTTTTGTTTTACGATCAATAAGATCCATTTATTCTCAACAGATTCTGCCTTTTAGGAATCTCTACGTGGCCCAATGAAATTCACCACCTACCTTCACATTACGGCCATCTCCAGAGATGCCTGCTCCCAATCGTTATTGTATCACATCACCTGGAAATCCCAGGTTCTGCAAAGCAAATAAACATTGACCCATTAGTCCTAGCAGACAAGGTGTAGATGACTTCAAGTTCACACACGTGCAGCTGTATTTCAGACAAATAAGAAGGTTATCGTCAGTTCTCGCATCTGACGGCACTTCCTATTCTGGGGTATCATCATCAACAGCCAGCAACTCTGATAGGTCAATACACAGAGGAACAGCTTCACGCTGAATTGACTGTACCCTCTCCCCTTTGCTAATATAAAGCATTAACTGTGTTATCAGGACATGACGTTTGCTTTTCATAGCTTTATATGCTTAATTAAAACTGCTACAGGTTATTTTCAATTAGCAGCCCTGCACTTAGCTACTTTATATCACTGGTATACAACGAAAGATCTAGAATGTTCTTAACACGTTACTCTTTGCTTCGAGGCACCGTTCCGCTGGGGAAACAGACACCAAACAAGCATTAAAGCAGTACTCCTCAGCAGTAAGTCTAGCAACTCGCAGAAGTACATTTGCTACAGTAAGTCTCTCAAGGATCAAAGGAGGAAAAGGGGGGGGAGGGGGAGGAAAGGGAAGTGAGGAGGAGGTATAAAAGTAAAAACCCACAGTAGGCCTCAGAAGGCTCAGCACTAAGAATCTGCCCCAGCCCAAGTCCTCCCAGCCTCGCTCACCTCAGTTCGGACCGCGGCGCAGCTGCCAGAGCACTCCGAGCGGGGCCCTGGGCCCCCATCCGCCTCAATGAGGGCCTGCGGGGACGGGATGAGCGAGACCCATTCTCCTTTACATCCCTCAACTGGCGCCTGTAGCCCCTGGAGGGCGAGGAGGAACGGCGTGCATCACCGCTGCCCGACGGTGGGAGTCCTCACCTCAGCCCTGCCGAGCGCCTTCCACACGCCACCGCACCGCGACCAGGCGCACGAGGAGAAAGGGCGGGAAGAGCTGCTGCACCCGCTTATAAAGGCTCGGGATGTGCCATCCTACGGCGGGGGGGCAGGCCGCACCGCTGTTCTCGCGAGATGTGGGTGGGCTGTACCACTGCTCAGGCGAGGCGGGGGGAGCAAGGCGTCCATTTCCTGCAGCGAGGAAGGAAGGGGTGGCAGGGTTCAAATGGGGGCTACAGCTAATTGCTGGGGGATGGAGGCTGTGCGGCTCCAGAATCGCAAAGAGAAAGAAGGGACTTGCAGGAAACTCTTCTATCAGTCTTCTGGATTTATGTTAGTTATGATAAAGTGCCCACTGACGATTTAAAACACAGAAATCCACGTCTGGGTAACTAAGGAAGAACAAAAGTAGCATTCCTGATAGCAGCAGGTACCTTCCGAGGCTTCTTCGTACAAAATCAGGAAAGAAAATCAGGCGAACACTCTTATTGCAAAAAGAAAAAGGATGATTGAAGAGAAAAGGGAGAAAAGGAGGAAAAAAAAAAAAAAGGAAAAAAATGAAAAAGGGGGGAAAAAAGGTTCTCAGTACGTCCCTAAAACAGCAGACTTGTATTTCCTGGCAGCTGGGATCCTGTGCTGTCATTAACACACAATCCTCCCTTCCAAACAGAGGTGCATTTCTGATTACATGGAAGACAGACGCAGTGCTAAAGGCTCTTCCTCCTTAAATGCCAGCCACTGCCCACACTTTTCTCATTCATACACCCATCAGATCAGCTCTCAGCTGAAGAGATTTTCTCTTCCCATTCCATCTTTCACACCAGCAGCCCACCCTTCACCAGGCTCAAGTGATGAATATTTACCTGGAAGCACAGTGGTTATCAGGGAGGTGAAGAGCAGCCCTCGGCCAGGCACTGACCTCAATTCACAGTAACACAGAAAGCAATGCTCACAGACACGACGTGTGGTTGATACCTACCTCCTCTTTTCAGAAAAAGGCAAAGTCAGAATGGATTCAAAGCAGTAACACAACGTGAAGGTTTACTGGCAAAAAGAGACTGGTTAAATGAATTTCATCAGGGTCTTGAGGAATGGGTAAGGTGTGATTCTACTTCAAAGCTTTGGAAGGGATATTAATGAAAGCACACACTGAAATGAATTCTTACAGTGATCAGACATTGCAGTTGTTTACTCTCAACAGCACTTTTTTTGTGAGTCATATTTATATATTCAATAATTAAATATAAACTGCAGGGTGTCACAAAACAAGGAAAGAAGACGTGAAGCCCAGGCAGTCCCTGGCTTACATTTCTCATCACTGTACCTTTCATTTCAACTCTCATTTTACATGCTGCTTAAAGCAGTAAGAAAGTTAATTGCAGACTCCTTACTTCCGTGAAACTTCAAACCTACTCCAACTTAGTAGACAACCAAACAAACAAAAACCACAAATAAACAAAAACACAAAGAGAGGAAGAGGAAAAAAAAATGCTAAAAAGGCAGACAGGAGAAGAGAGATATACTCTCAATTTGGACTGACAGAACCTGGGAAGTAGGGACAGAATCACAAAATGGTTGAGAGGTCGGAAGGGACATCTGGAGGTCACCTGCCAACCCCCTGCACAAACAGGGCCATCCAGAGTTGTATCCAGGCAGCTTCTGACACCTTCAAGGATTTCAAAGCTCCACAAGCTCTCTGCACAGCCAGTGCTCCATCATCCACAGTGTAAAGAAGTGCTTCCTGAAGTTCAGACAGAATCTTCTGTGTTCCAGTTTGTGCCTTCTGCCTCTTATCCTAACGCTGGGTGCCACTGAAGATAGCACAGCTCTCTTCTTTGCATCCTCCCTTCAGGTATTTATATACACGTTGATAAAATCCCTCCCCCCAACATCTTCTTCTCCAGGATGAGTCCTAAAGACAAAGCAAACATCCTCAGACTGTCAAAAACATAGCAGACAATGTTTTTTGCCACCTGTTCTGTTCAGCAAAACACGACGTGCTATCATTAATTCTCATTTAGAATTACTGGCAATTAAAATATATGCCACAGGCAACAAGAAGAAGAAAAAATTGCAGCTGCACTCTGATCAAACTTTTATGTAGAGAGGATACGCAGGTAAAAAAAAAAAGCTGAATGTAACAGGTCAACCATGTGCACATCCACGTGTACTATACAAGAACACTCAAAAATATTGACATGGGACAGTGATCCTATAGTTTTCCTTTTCTCTTTCAGTTATATATATGTATAGTCAAACAGCACATAGGAAAACATCACTATAGCTTTTTTCACCATGGCCAACAGGAAATTTCCACAAATATAAAAATGTAAGTATTTAAACTGTTAGATTTCTTCAAAACATAATACAGCTGAATGAGAGAAATGTAATTTCTCAATATGTAACTAGAAAAAAAAAAAAAAAAAGATAAGAAAAACCTTCAGGAATTTGCACAATTCTCTCAACCAACTTTGCAGTCTGAAACACTGCAATCCCCGCTAGAGCAGAACACAGCATCACCAAAACAAATACATGAATTCCTGGAGAGCAGTGATGCCATATGGATACCTCATGAAACCTCACTATACTACAACGTTGGATTTACATTCATTATTTTGGAGGAAGGGAACGTGGCAGACCCTTCATGCTTTCTCCTTGCTGGCTGCTTACCCAGGAAGCATTATTGTTATTACTTTAAGAAGAAAGGTGCTGGTAAGTGCCAGAAGGGCAAGGCAATGGTGCTGACTGTGAAATGCCCTGTTCTTTGGATGAACTGTGTAAAACATTTTGTTAAAAGACTCCATGTTAAAAATATTAAGAACAAAAAGGTCTTCTTAAAAATACAGAGTATTTTTCCCTCTTCTTTTAAATTCAGAGGTTAGGGAAAAGTGTTTGGCTAGAATTAACTACAGGTTTGCTGTAATTAACATATAAGACAACGCCCTACATAACACAGGGCCAACCACAGACTCCAGACAAACATGATTGCTTTAGGTTTCAAGTGGCATATGCATCTCTATTTTAGTATAAAAGGAACTGAGACATTTCTGGAACCTTCACTGCAGAGTCTTTGCCAGTGTTCAGCTTTTGGGCAAAGGAAATCTTGCCACACTGCAGAGTCATGATCTTGAGGATCAAAGTGTAAAATCATGATTCAGTATCTGATCCAGAACTGCTTTCTCGGCTGATTTCAATTTGTAGAGATGGTAAATTATCCAATCGACTCTTTTTTTGCCGAGACTCCTCTTTTTCCTTAATGAGAGCACCCCAAACCCGCTGGAGCTCTGAATCATCTTCCTCTGGAGATGCCACGGAGTTCTCAGGTTTATCTGAAGTCTTTTCTTGTGTCTTCGGAGCAGAACCTAACCGGGTCCATAGATTACCTAGTAAGATGAAAAACAAGCACATTGAAAACTAACAGGAATGTACTGCATTTCTTTAAACTTCCACTCCAGCACAAAACTGACCTGATTTCTTCTCCCTGGTATCAGAGTAGAGGCCTTTTACATCCTGCTTTGGGATTCCTAACCGGCTGTGTACGTCTGATATTGGTTCTCGACGAGGAGCAGAGATGCTGCTTGGAGGCTTAACTTCTGGGGAGTGTGGTCTTTTTCCCAGTCTTTGCCGCACATCTAGGGATATTTTCAGTGATCAGAACAACAAAAACCACGCTGCTTTTACTTTAGTTCTGCCAGCTAATGTGACGCTCATTGCACACTTCATAGAATTCAGAACTAGACAAATGTTCTCATCTTTTCTATCCTCTTTTCACTAAGTCCTTCATATTCAGATTTCAGTCTCGACAAAGCTTGCAATAAAATGTTATCCAGATTCTGCTGTTCTCTGGCAATAAAATGTGGTATTTAATGTTTTCAGGTTATATTTTGTCCAGATGACCCAAAAATTAGCTGTTAGTCCATGGCTTGTTGCATTTGTTTTAGCAGCACAGCATATACGTGTCCAGCATGAGCTATGATTATAAGGTAATTGTGAAGCCTCCAATGATTTTTTTTTTCAGATTATAGATACTTTGCCTTAGAGTTCCAATACCTCTTAATATTTTACAGAATTAAATGGAAATAAGAATATAAAAATGCTAAATATACTGACACTTAACCCATGATCAGTCAGATAATTCTCTGGATACTATCTGTGTCAGAAGCTGCAATTACACACACCTGTGCCAAGAAGAGCAAGTCAGCATAAAATAAATAAAGACTGCCATTTGAAAAAATAGTTCATATACACATATATATAGCTAGACACATATATACTTCCATATATGTATTATTTCATGTAGTTATGTCATGTAGTCATGTAGTTAGTGCCTCATGTTTCAGTTTGCTCATGAGCTTCCCATCAATACAGGTTCCCATGATGTCATACAGAATCTGCCTCAATAAGTAAGCAAATTAAAAGGGACAAAGTGTGTGTGGGGGGGGGGGGGGAAATAAATGCAGGCAAAGAAATTAGATAAAAATAAATGTCACTCTGTCACTTAAATGGAATAGTACTCTTCCCCCAAAGCAACCTCCAACTCTGCCTCTTAGCGAGGAGAAATTAACCATTGGAATGCAGAAAGTGCTGATGAATAGGATTTCCTCATGTTTCTAAGTTGCATTGGAGGACTGATGTAAAATGACGACATCAATTAGTAAGAGAGTCATAATTCTGCACAGCATAAGAGTTTCACATTACCTGATTTTACAGTGCTGTTCGGCTGGCGCAGCCCGTTGTTATTCTGACGTTTTTCTTCTAACAGTAGTCTTACATCTACAACTTTGTCTGATAATCCTTTACTGCCAATCCTGTTTTTCACATTACTGGTTGCTATGCTATCTGCTCGCATGGAATTCCTAAATAAAACAATAATAAAGTCCCTTAAGCAAAATGAAATCTAGTGCAGTTCTCAGATCTTCTTGTATGTGGAGTGATAGAAAACAGTGTTATCAGGATTGCTCTACTGAGAAACAGAGGTAAAAAAAGCAAAAAGACCCAAAAATGTTACTTATATGAGCATGCTTTTCAGTGAGAATCCAAAGTCTAACTGTAATCACACAAACTCCTCAGTATCTGCTACAAGGCAGATATCAAGCTTGTCTCTGTAAGGCTGTGCCCTCTGCATCAAAATTCAAAGCAAATGAACAACCTCAGAACTGGTAAAAGGTCTGATGTTAAAATGAACTGTTGTAATGACTCATACTGCCAAAGGGATGTACATTAAAATTATTCTGATTGCCCACAGTATATGCAGCTTTGGTTAATGAGTCCACAATGAACATAAATTACTTTTTTCTCATCTACACCTGAGGATGGCTGCCCTACCTATGAAATGCAAGAGCTTAATTTTGCTTCCTTACATTTCCATTGATTCCACTTTGAGTTTTATCATCATCATGGTGCTGGGTTGCAGAAATCTACAAAGGAAGCTGCATTTTAAATACGTTAATTGGAAAGAAAAGACCAATACAGGCTTTTCTGTATTTTGCATTTCACCTCTAAAATGTCTACTGCAAAATTATGTTAAGAACTGAAATAGCAGCTTCAACAGTATGCCTTTAAGCTTTGACAGCACTGTCACTGGTTACATTTGAAATGCCTTTTCACTGACGCTTCTAAAGAACAGGGAACCTTTACCTAATATTTTTCAGTTGTGATTCCACTTCGTCTGCATACATTGTCATTTTCATGCTCTTTTTGGGAGAGGGGGTCGATATCATTTTCAGTTCCAGATCATAGTCCATTTCATCAGAATCAGATGCACTTGCACTCGATCGCCTCGCCGTACCGCGGTCTCGGGACTGTTTGAAAGGCTGTAAATCATCACGGTACTCTACAACAACTCTGTCATCTTCATCCATATCCTGAACTTCTTCCTCCTCCTCTTCCTCCTCAATAGGCTCCTCAGGAACATTTACCAAGCCTACAGCAACACAAACTGATTCTGAGAAACTGAAGTTTATCATTTATCGTAGGTAAGAACAAGGCAGAAAATTATTACCGTAAAGAAGTGATGCAATAGAAATGAGTCTCTGTAGTTCTTCAAAGCTAAAAAGAATATTTTCCAAAATATTCTAAGTGGAATCTATACTACAGAATAATCTAAGAGGGAGAAAATCACTACAGGAGAAAAAAAGCCCATAGTGTTCCAGTACCCCAGGATACTGCTCAAGCATGTAGCTGGACTCAACACACACGGTATAACTGCCTCTTGTTGTGGGGCAGTTCATGCTGACCTGAACATAACAATTCCTATCATCATGCAGGACTTAATGTGACAACTGCTGGCTTATGAGAATCCTCTCCACTCCTGTAAGTAGTAACATCACAAATAAGGCATCCAGCCCTCCACTTCCCCAGTTACACTGGTACAGCTTTGACACTGTCAGCAATTACCCGAATGCCGATGTTTGTAAGGAGGAGTCAGGCCAACATCATCCCCAATGAAGGTCCTTTTCTTTATCACATCCCGATGGATTCGACGCGAATGGTACCTCCGTTTCCTGAAACACCATTAAAAGAATGATGTTCCTATCACCAAGAAATGAGCTGTAACCAATCCTGGATTAAGCACGTGCAGTTATCACTCACTTCAACAACAGCCATTTATGCCAGAGAACTGTTCTGTGTGTGTGTGTGTGTTCTGAATACAAAACTTTTTTACTGTCACAACAAAATATTCCCCAGCAAATACATCATCACTTTGCAAAAACATTACTCACACTTGAGATATATCTACAGGAACCAAAAGAAAAAAAAAATCTGCAAGTTACAACAGCTTTGAACCACCTTGTCTGAGCATCTGCAGCATTCCAATTCCTGCATCCTGCACTCACCAAGAATTACTAAGAATCCCCTTCATGCCTCCATAATTGGGATTGCCATACTTCATGTAATACTGGCTTCTCCTTGCAGCTCCCAGTTCTTTTTTGTCATCTGAAAAAACATAAGTTAAAAGAATATTTCCTTTCCTCTTTGAATATACCTCGCTAGCATCCAGTCAGACAGGCACAGAGTGAAAGGAAGACTGATTATGTGTTACAGGTCCCTGGTATTTCTTTCAATTTGTTTTCTGGACAATACAATTTTGCTGACAACCCAAATGAAATTTCTCCTACAGCCACAGTTTTATTTGTGCCCAACTCCGTGGAGACTGAGTTTCTGTATCAGCTTAAAGGAACACTGCATCCCACTGCAACTGCTGCAGGCCACACTTACCTTATTCCCAACCTTTCTTTTCTTTATGGATCTGCCACCTTCCACATGGCTCAGAAATTATATGCGTTTTCATTTTATCCATAAATATAATTTAATATCTCAACTGCATTAAGTGACAATTTCCATCAGTACCTCATAAACATCACAACTGATTTCCATATTTATAAAATGTGAAATTTTCCTCGGTGGAGAAGTGCACTGTAAAACCTATTCTATGGTATTGGGAAGAATGCCCTGAACCCAAGATAATATTTTATGTACAATAATCTTCATACAATATGAACTGGATTTAATTCACACACTAAATGTGTATTCATAGCAAAATCTTAATACCTAATAATTAGCAAAAAACCTAACCATTTTGCAAATAAAAATTAGGTACTTCAAGTAATTAATTAGTCAACAAATAAAACTGCAACAAGCAATTAATTCATTATGCTTGTTAAGCTGTTCATTTACCTTTAGTAGCAAATCTCATGAATAGCTTGTTTCCTTTAGCCAGTTTATTGGCAGGGCGAAGATCATTACGCAGGAGAGAATCCTCTTCTACCTGGGTGAGGGCATCCAACTTTGGGGGCAAAAAAGGTATTTTGGACTCAAAAATAAAATTACTTTTGAATGAAAATGGATTGCTTGCAGAAAAGCAACCCCTTGGTTATTAAATTACTTTTCAGATTCTGTTCAGACTAACTCCACTTCTTTCTTGACAAATTACTACGTATTGGAATTTTTTTTTTGTCAACAGGTTTTAAATATTTTTGTCTCTTCCTTCATAACACTTCTTCAGATTATTCAATAAGTTTTCAAATGAAACTACAATATGACTGAAATGAATAAATAAACTTGGACACTGAAAAAGAAAGATGTGATTTCTTTTGTTTGTTTTATTTCATCTACAAACAGTCTCACCAATGGGTTCTCCTGCCCTCGCACACCAACTTACAGGCATTGGTTTGTTTCATTTATAACTGCTTTCTATAAGCTAAAATTCACATTTCCATAATCTGGGTGAGTGTTTGCTGCGCCACTCCTAAAGAAAATACTGATGACACCCATTATATGTATTCAACCAGTGAAGATTAAACTACTTACAGAAATCAATGTGTATGCTGATGCCCACATATATCTACGGGCAGCCTAAATCCCCTTTTTTTTCCCCACTTTATACACTGCCTTCTATACTGAAAGGCTGCTGCCTTCCACTGTTTTCTTTTCATTGTCTCCTTTAACAGGATAGAGCAGTCAGTCTAGCTCTTACATGCTGGCTGCCCTATCAGTCTTCAGAAATTACTTTCACAAAGCACTTTTATGAGGCTATTCTCACCAGCAGCACGTCTGCACTTCCTGCCTTCTTCCCCACCTTATTTGCTTTGATAATGAAATTGTAAATTATGAGCATATATGGTAAAAACCATCATGTCATGAATACTTTCCATCACTCAGAGCAAAACTCCCATAATGGGTTCTCATTTGCTTTCTATACTGACCTCAATGTCACTTGGATTTTCATCCTCAACCTCGCCTTCTTCTGTCTCATCATCAGTACTTTCCTCCTGTTTTTCTAAAGAGGAAAATAATAGAGAAAAGAAATCTACATTTTAATGTGCTGGTTCATTTCAATATTATTCTCTACAGTCTCTGAAATCAGACTGAAGGTGTTATCAATTCCTCTGTGCAGCCTAGAGAGTAATCGAAACAGTGAACGTCTACAGAAAGCTGAAGCACACATGAGCACAGATTAATTAACATCAACCAGACAGACCCCATACAGGTAAGTGCCAGAGGCATGGATTATCAGTTTACTTATCTGAAAGCAAATGAAATTGCACTGTAATTTCTAAGTATGACAGAGATCAGCAAGGACAAGACTGCAAAAGGTGGATCAAAGCCTGTTTCCTTCCAACTCCCTTTCAAACGCTGCAAGTACCTACAGGTATCCAATATTCACAACGTGAAACAGGTTTTCAGGTCTTCTTTGTTGTTTTTTTAGCTCACAGGAAGAAAATTGTTGGAATTGTTGGAAATTGTTTTTGAGCCTCCCCAAAAGACACACAACTAAAAAACCCTCTTCTATATTTCACAGCTCCTTGTCTTAAATCTCCTCTGACTGGACTTGACAACTTCTAATATGGAACCACAGCTATTAAAAAAATCTTGACAACTACACCCAAGTTCAAAGGAAAAAGTAAAGCACAATGAACCAATCTGACTCCAAAGAGAATTTCAGGAAACAAATTAGCCAAAATCAAACGTTAGCTGACTTCTATCAGGGACAGCATTCAAACATCCAATTTTGTATTAGCCTCTCACTGTAAAGACGTGTCTCCTGCAACCCTAAATGTCTACATAGGCCTCAAGTTCTTACCTAGAAAAGAAACATACCTGAGCCAGACTACTTTAATACATCTGTATGCACCTCACACCTTAAGATGTAATCTGCACAGCTTGTACTCCATCCAGCATCCCACTTTTCCAGCTGAACAGGTGAGTAAGATTATGTAGGAGGAATTTAAATGACATGATTTTGATGATGCAGCGTGGATACTGTAGCCAACAAGATTAATATACATATTTTTATGCTCCATTTAAAAAAGACATTCACTAATCTGCAAAAACCTTGTAGCAAATCTTACTTGAAGCATTATCAATATTTTAAAGTCACATGGATGGTGGAGGAGCCACTGCATTGTAGAGAAAAGCAACAAGAAAAGGGAATGAGTTAGAAGCATCCATAAGTTTAAAGCCCAAATTTTACAAAAAGGCTTTTGGTAGCACTGTGAATATAAAATAGATTGTCCACCTGCATTTTGTTCAAAGAGTTCATAAATAAAACACCTCCCTTCACTTTGTACTCCTCAGGACAGTACTTTGAAACAATTCATCATATTGGTCTGACTCTTAATTTACACCTGTAGAACGAATTTACAACTGAGGCATTCAGATACCAAATTTATCACAACACTGAGCTGTATGTTCACTGCTTTGCTCTTTTACAGGTGACCCTTCAGAGTGCTTCTGTCTTGAAAGTAAAGCAGTCAGACGTAGAGATGATGCACACAGCAGTGAGGTGGTGCTCTGCACAGCGGTGTGGATGGTATACATGAAGGATGGTGTGAAGAATAAACCATGGTATTTCAAAACCAGCACACGTTCTTAGACCTGCTGTGTCCACAGTTAAAATATCCATCCTTCCACTGCCTTTGCAAGCACATAACAGACTTATTTCTGTGCAACCACCACATCTCAATCTGACCCTGCATCTAACATGTTGAGTGCGGACCAAATTACTGCTGTTGGTCTAACTCCAACCCACCTTTTAAGAAGTAGTTCTTCAAAAGGTTTCCAAGATGAAAGCCTTTTTTAAAGTGGCAGAATACATTTACCTGAAACTATATGATAGAAGCTCCTTCAGTCATTTAGATCACGCAGTACCCAAGCACAAGTTTAAAGTTTAACTGATTTAACCAGATGACATCTGTATATGCACATCTCATCTACCTTTCTTGCTTTTTTCAGCTGTCTTCTCTTCATTGTTTTCTCTGCCTTTTGCTTTCTCTTGATCAGGAAAGGAACTCATGTTTATTAGAGCCCGTGTTGCTGTTACTTCATCAAGCCAGACCACATTGCCTATGACATACAGATAGAAACATACACAGAAACAAAATGCAGTTTGTGTCACATGCACTGCCTTACTGGAGGGAAACAGCAAACAAAAGTTCAGAAATGTTCTTATCATGGGACATGACTAAGAAGTAATCAGATCTTTCATAAGGGAATTCCTGTTCTTCAACCCTTGTTCACCTGGGGGACACACAGCTTTTATCCCACTACAAAAACACAACTGACCATAACCAAACCCACCAAAATGCATAACCACGTGTATAAACCAGAGCAAACAATACTGAATAACAGCCACTGTATATCATGAATGTGTTAGCACAGAAATGCAATTAAAGATCAAAAAAATAAGAAAAAACAACAACCCAAGGCTTATTTCTCCTTTTTTATTTAAATTTAACCAAACCTTGGACCTTAGCACAGAATTCTGTTAACCTTTTCCAAAGAGCAGAAAAATAAGAGACTGCTCAAGCACTTCAGAGGCTACACAGTGCATAGGTTAACAACACCAGTCAGTAAGGGCTTCCTGTATGTCTCAAGTATCAGCAGGTGCTGTTGAAGTAAAACTTAAGTAAGGCTCATTAAGAGCATTTCATACATGTTGATGTCGAATCTTTTATCTTTCTGGCAACCTCACTGCATGCATACTCCTCACAACAGCCCTTGCTATGTGAATTTGCATTCCCTTCCCAATCTATGCATGTCTCATTCATCAGCCACCTTCCTCCACCCACTATTTCCTCCTTGAGAAGGAACTAAACAAATATAGGAACAAGTCTGCTCCTTCCCAGCACAAAACCATGCCAACCTCTCTAGTTGCATGCAGTTAAATAATCTGCTCTCTGAACATTATCCTTTGTGACACAAGCAGATACACTATTTGTGCCAAAATACAAGCAGCACCACATTTTTAGACCATTTTTTCCCCACACCAGAACTGGCAAGCTACTTTCCGTTGTTCCTTTCTGATAACTTCAGATTGTCAACAAACAGCTCCTGTCATGTTTTCTTCACTCCATTTTCTAAGAGCTACATAACTTGCTGCTCTATGCACCAGTCACCTTCCCTCTTCAGCACTTCTAATTGTATTAATTAGACCACCATATTTTGAACAATACCACTTTAACTTGTAATGAGGTCAATTCACACCCTCCACAAGTGACTCTCTTGCCATGACACTCTGATCACTGGCCACCCTTCTATCTACCAGCATATTTATTTGAGTCTCCTTCAACGTCAGTAATTTGTGTAATGCCAAGATGTTTAGGTCATTTTTAAATCATTTTCTTTCTAAATACTCATTCAGACAGTGGGTTTGATTTTCACCACACCCTGTTAATTCTTTCCTTATAAATCCCTTTTGGCTAAGGTTAATGAAAGGGAAACAGACAGACAAAACCACAAAGACACCCAAGGTACAGCTTCCACTGATATAAGAGATAAAGAATGACAAACAAAAGATTCCATTTACTTACATGAAGTATCATCTAACCACTCGATGTGAGCAGGAGGATATTCTTTGAAATAGGCAAAGATGTCCTGTGTACTCATTTCATCCACGCCACAAATGTAAATTGTGTCCAGTCTCACTTTAGGAATTGCTATAAAAGAGGAAGAGAGGTCAAACTGACACTCGTTTCTGCAAAGCAAGCTTTTATGTTCATAATACATGGATTTATAAAGCAAACATTGAAAGTAAGCTAAAGTTGTAGAAGTATGATGTTCACCAATCTGCAACACTAGAACTTGAGTTACCCCACACTGTAAAATGTTAACTGAGAATTAAAGAGAGAAAGGTGGTTGTAACATTACAAACACTGGGAGCTGCAGGTACTGAAAAGCATCAAACTGCCTTACAGAGGTTTTCTTCTCTTTTGTCATGGTTCTATGTTTTTTTGTTTGTTTGTTTTGGGGTTTCAGTATTCCACATTTTCTTTATAATGCTACTAAAGTAATTTCACTCAGTGCTGAAGAGACATAATGCTAACGAGACCCATGACCAGGACATAGTACAAGTTTTGCACACATCTCATGGAGAGAATTTACAGGCCATAGCTTAGTTGGTCCAAGCTGCCAGCTGGACAAAGGCCTTGGGAACAAACTGGATGCCAAAGATGCCGATCTGTTGTGTGTGCACATCTCTCAGATTATCTGCTTATACTCCAGCACGTCCAGCTTGTCATCTGACAGCACATGTGCCATCACTCATGGAACCTGATCTTTCTATGCACAGGACAGAGTCCTATGCTCACACACAAACAGTGCCTGAGGCCTTTTCAAGGAATTTAAATATTCTTAAGGCAGCACTGGTCCTGAAGACAGACCTTGGACACGTACATCAGGTGTCACTGCCAAATATCAAATAAAAAATGTTTTCTTTTCTGGTGTGAGTAAAGTAAGGAGTGAAAATGATAAGCACTGTTACAAAGTAGTTCAAAATATTGTTTTCAAAATAAAGTGATTTCTCTTGAAAATTATCTGGGAAAAACATTGGGAGATGTAGGAAATAAAACAGTATAAATCAAGTAAAGGAACTGTGAGGAAGTAAACAAAAGGATCTTTCCTTCTTGATTGCTGGGTAAACTCCTACCTTTCTTCATCATGTCCCGATCCAGAGCTACATTCCTTTGGGCAAGATTCACTTCAGCTCGAAAATGGAAGCGTTTTGCTCTTTGTTCCTTTTTCTCAATTGCTTCCTGCAAAATGCGAAATGATGCAGTCAAAAGAGGAACAGCACAGCCTTCCCAGCAACTTACATCATAGGACTGGATATTTAAAATACAGCCAACCAAGCAGCAACGATCTATATTAATAACTCTGTTATTTCTGAAGAGATCTGTATGTTTCAGAACACAAAAAGAACTCACTGAAACGTTACTGTGCCATTTAATACTTCTAATGCAAGTTTGGCAGTGTAATAAGGACCAAGACACAGGGAAGACAAACTATCCTGAACCCACGCCCAGCTTCCATGATGGAACATTAACATTCATTTTTCCTTCCTAACAAATGTACAAACAATATACAAAACTAGTACAAACTAAAAAAAAAAATGCCTGCCTTAAAATAAGCACTTTCACCACCTTTCTCCATCTTGAACAATGAACATTCATCATGTAACAATACTGAAATACCATCACTCACAGAAAAGAGAAGGCTCACCTGTCTCACACAGTGATACTGTTTTGCAATACTGAGTGGCATCAATGCAGTTTCAATACAAACATTTTCAGGTTTTGGACACAAATTTTGCTACTTTAAAATGACAAGAGAGAACCTATCCAGATGTCATTTGCAATCTATAAAGAAGAATTCTCTAGTTATTGAAAACAGTGTTTTCATAATGGTAAGCTTCCATGCTTCTTAGGAAAGACACAGTGCTTCCTCCTTTCCTGCAGCAATAATTAAAACACTTCAAAGAACCACAGAACAAAAATTACCTTGGATGTTACATCTATTCCAGTAATGAAACTTCCAGCTTTGTTTTCGTATCTCCTACTGGTGTCCTGAAACAAAGCAAAACAGGGATGAAAACTCAATGAATGCTGACAGCACCGTAATCACTGTGCTAAAACAAATCAGGCCTATGAGAAATCCATCTCTTGCCCTTGATCCTTTCCAAGCTACACATCCCTACAGAGACAGGTAAACAAGCACTTAACCTCACTGACAGCAGTGAGATTTAAAGCACATCAAGCGAACCCAAATTCCTCTACTAGGAGAAATGTGTGCTTTTACAATATTTAATTGCTCAGGTTTTTACTTTGTCTCAGCAACACAGCAGAAGCCATCAAACACCTTTTCCTAACTACAGTTTTCACCACTTTGGTGCCAGGTGTAATTTTCTTGTAAAACACACACAGATTTAACAGGGCCGTTACAAAAATAGGCGACTCCTGAAATTTGCCATTTTCAGTTTTGAGCAAAGTCAGAATGCCAAACCATTTCCACAGTTCAGCAAGTGTCTTTCACTGCTATTTTTTTATCATTATTTTAAAGCCAGCTTCCAAAAGCAGCAATATGAATGATCACTGGTTTGTTACGAGGCTACAGACCAAGAGGAACACTACCAATGATGACAAACAAACGCATAAAACTCATTTCCACCAATGGAGACCGCTGAAATTTAAGCCTGAAGTGAACAACACGAACCCTGGAGCAGTGACCCAGCCCTGTCCCTGTCTGCATGTTTAACAATGGCACTGCTTCATTCTGAAACCTCAGAACCATCTCCTAGGGAAGGTTTGTGACATAAGGATCATATGTTGCCTTCTTATCTCTAGGGATAAATGTTCTGTTTACCCTTGTGCTCCAATAATTATTTTGGCTAAAGGGCTTTTTCTAGAAAGTAGGTCAGTCACTTAGAAAACAGTCACACACTGAGCCTAACAGCTTTCCTTAGTATCAAACTTCCCTTAAAGTTGCAGGTATTTAAAAGATATGAGAACAGCAAAATAAACGTATTACTTTTTCAATGGGAAAAAAAAACAACCAAAACCACCAGTTTGGGGTGACTGATGGAGCACAAGGAAGTCCATAGAGAAGAGTGCCGTCTCTTAGGCCACGTATTTGGTAGAAGCTGAAGCACGACGATCAACCAGCTAATTAGAGATTAGTTTCTCAAGCATTTTCCACACGCGTTTTCAGAACAAAAGCCTACTTAGGAACGGAGATCAACTCTGACCCACTTTCACACGTTCAACCTGACCGTACCTGAACTTATCTAAGGACAGCAAGTAAGAAAAAAGACTCAGAACAAGAAACAACCCTCAGAGCCCACCCCGCCGGATGCCTCCCGCTCACAGCCCCGTTCCTCAGCCGGTTCCCCCCGCCCTCAGCTCCCCACAGCCCCCACCCTTCCTCTCCTCACCTCCCCCTTCCCTCCCTTCGCCCCCTCGCTCCCCTCAGCCCCCCCCACTTTCCTCCTCCCGCCCCGCGATGCCCCGTTCCCTCACAGTCAGCCCCCAGGTGCCTCAGCGCCGCCCCTACGTACCCTGCCCCCCCTCAGGTGCCGGTCCCTCCTTCGCTCCCCCTGCCCGTCCCTCACCGGGATGAGCTCTCGGAGCGATCGCCTCACGGGGATGGTCTCCAGCTCGCCTTCTTCCACCTCCATAGGCTCAGGCTCCGGGCCGCGGAGTTCTGCCGTTGTCGCCGCTGCCTCAGCTTTCACCGAGATCCGCAGGCCCCGCACGGCCGCCATGGCTCGCCAAGCCCGCCCTCCGCCCGGCCAACGAGACGGCCCCGCCGCGGTGCAGAGCGCCGCCGCCCGGAGCCACCACAGAGACGGCAACGCGGATAGAGCGCCGCCCGGAGCTGCTGCAAGAGCGGTGCCCACGCGCTCAGCGCGGCCATAGAGACGAAGAGAAAGAGCGGCTCCTCCGCTCGCCGCCATTTCCCCCTCCTACAATGATAGTGGCGAAAGTAGTCTGGCTGCTGCAAACGTTCCGGTTTTGCTCCCCCTCTGTGCTGCTCAGGAGCCATGTGTCTCTATGTGTCTGTTCGCAGCTCGGTTGTTCCCTTTGTCACGTACTGCCTTCCCACCCGGCGGTATGTCAAGAAAAGCCTTATGGAACCATAGGAATCATTTCATTCTTCGCTATGCTAAATTCCATTACAATTCCATTCAGCAATTCTCACGAAATAAGTTATTTATTCTGCTAATTATCCTAATTGCTCACTGTAGTTCATAGCTATCCCATTGGACACAGTGGTACAGAACCATGCTGTATCTCAGGGCTTGTTCCTGCCTTGGCCAATAGCGTCAGTATTTTAGCATCCATCGCATAATACAACTGATGGCTCTACAGCTGTGTTTCCTCAGTTCGTGGTCACCAGCATCACATCCAGCTAATTCCATTACAAATTCCTAATATTTCTCTGGTTGCATGACCCTCCCATCCTACTTCATTCCTGTGTTGCTGCTTCTCAAACCAGTCCTCCAGCACACCCCCCGTGATAGGTTTCCTTAGAACAAAAGGTAGTGGCCTTAAATTACAACGGGGGAGGTTCAAGTAGAATATTAGGAACAGTTTCTTCTCAGGAAGAGTGGTGCTGCAGTGGTACAGCTGCACAGCAAAGTGGGAGAGTCCTCATCCCTGGAGGTGTTTGAGAGCTGTGGGGATGTGGCACTGAGGGACATGGGCAGTGGGCATGGTGGGCTGGGTTGGGGTTGGACTTGGAGATCTGAGAGCTCTTTTCCAATCTTAACAATTCTATGATTCTAAAATTCAACAGCAGATCTTGACTTCGGTATAAAGAAATTTTGCAGCTGGCAACATAAAAGCTCCTCCCTTCATCCATACTCATCACACGCTTCAGATTTATTTATTTTCAACAGCCTCTGCACTGAGGTCTTTACACAATAGTTACTGGCAGTTATTTTGCCAGAACTATCTTTGGTGCTGACATCACACAGCCAGCACCTGACAGGAACCACCAAGTGATATCACCACAGGTGATATTTCCATGCCAGATGTGAATGGTTATGGGAGAGGCCACATATGCATAATGTGAACATGTGAGAAGTAAACAGGGCAGAAACACCTGCTCTGAGCAGCAGATTCTGAAATAATCCGTAGAGAAAACATTTCTGTGACAGAAACGCTATTATAAGGGAAATAAAGGACACATCTTTTTCTCCTTTTGGTTTTCATCTTATAAGTAGAATGCAGTGATCTAGATCTATATGTGATATAGACCATATTTACAAAGCCTAACCCTTCAATGTAATAGTTGGAGCAGGATTCTGTGACATCAGGTTGCCTTGCACTACTGCTATAAGAGTGCAGTTGAAGCCATCACTTCACCCAAATGCTTGCTTACTTTGTTTGAAAATCCTGGAATGTTTGCCTAGGAAGATCCTTGCTATATAGCCTTACCACAGCCCTCTCTGCTTGACATGATCTCATGACTTGCTTATTGAACTCAGCATGAAACTTTCTACTGATAAGTTGTGGCTTTAGGTAAGTAGCCAAAGTTTTAGAATTCCTTAGGAAAAAATCACCTCTGACTGGCAAGAACAGTCAAATCAGAAGAGGAAAACCAGGCCTGAGTGCCTTCAGGGCCTTTACTGCTGGGTAGGTGAACAAAATATTCTCCTGATATTTTCCAGCTTCTTTTAGAATATTATTATGAACTGCGAATTCTTCACAATTACAAGCTGATCTAATCTTATTAAGTCTCCAGTGAAGAGCTTTGTTCTTTTCCACTCACCTCAGACTTCATCCTGTGCCCATAAAAGGCTAGTGAAAGAATGCAGGTTGGGGCAGAAAAGCTCCACCTTTATGGCAGCCTTTGTACAGAAAGGATGAATCAATGGTAGTAAACTATTGAGGAGTGGAGTGTTAATTATGGGAGGAAAAAGGAATTTGGAAAAGGTTACCAGTTATTATCTAGAGAAGCCTTAAGTAAAGAAAGGTTGTTAAAAACACTGAACAGAGTGACTGAACAATAAATCCTTCCAGTATAAAAAAGCTTCTTACAGAAGTATTATTCATTTCCCCATTACTGACCGCCAGAGGGAACTCTTGCAGTAATATTCCCAACTGCTAGCAACTGAAAAAGAAGTCTGATGAAACCCTCTAACTCCTGTAGTTTTGTGGTTCAGCTGTAAACAAGGGAAGATGGGGTACAAAAGGAGGAATGGGGAAGGAGAAAAAGAACAACAACAAAAAAAAATCAGCCAGCAGACTCTCAGTCAAAAGGCAGCTTTTCTTCTTTCTTTTTTAAACAGTGATCTGGCAGGAGTCTAAAAATGATTACTTTTACCATTGCAAGAGAGTTCTGGCTTGTTTATTTGAAGCTTGTGAAACACTACATAGAATGGCCATATTTTTCTGCTGCTGGGATTTAATTCTCCTAGCAGCCTGGGCTTTCAACAACAATCTCCAGCTTTTCAAAACTATGAAAAACCTGGGCACAGAAGTGTGCTACTTCTGCAGCCAGCTTGCAAACTCCACGCGTCACCAGGGAAACTGGGACTCTAGGTTCCAAATAGATTATGACTGGCTCCTACCTACAGTCCATCTGGAGAGAGAACAGGATCAGCAAAGGAAGGATGCTCATTTGTTAAGCCATCAGATAAGCAGAAGTCAAACACCTGGTGTTTTCTTACATATTTAGCAAACCACAGCCTGCCACCTGTAAGATAGAATATTTTTTTTCATTGGGATACTGTGAAGGTTCATACAAAACTAGTTAATCGACACAATAGCAAAGCCCCATCCATGAGACAGTTACAAGGCTTTCAGAATGCCCTACAAGAAAGCAAAAATGCTGTGAGCCATCCAGGCAGGAACATGGCACTGGTACAGTTAAGGACAGCTGTGCTCTGTTTATGCAAGTGCTGCCACACGGAGGCCACACAGTTGTAAAAACACATTCCTATGGGGAAAAAAAGCTTACAGAACTGAGCAGAGCTGGAATGGAATTCTCTGTGCAGTTATCCAGACTCTGAAGACGTTATACTGGAACTTGAAGATCTCAGAGAACAATCTAAAATCTATTTTGTCATCCTTAGAGATGCCATTCTTAACTGCATGCACCCACACACGTGTTCCTCTGCAGCAGAAGTGGAAGTTAAGCAATTCTCTGTCTGCAGGCCCCCGAGGTCAGTGATCTCAGGCTCAGAACAAGCTTTTTCTTTCACAGGGCTATACTTAACACTGAACATCTCACTGGAAAGACACTTTTCAGTGAAAACAGCTGCACTGGCACAGCTGTGAGGTGGGAGCATACCGCTGGCAGAGGAGGGGAGGGCAGGAACTGCGGGTGCCAGCACATCTCTGAAGAAAAAAAGACAGCGAACTCAATCCTCAACGTGCCTGCCTGCGTGCAGACAAACCCGGCTTCACATGAGTGATCACAGCAAGCGTCAAGAACTGGGAAACCACGGGTAATTGTGGCACTCCGGGTTACGTTCGCCTTCTAACGAGATGCACCAGAAGCACAGACCGATCCTGGCCGCGCTCACAGCACAGCACGCACACCGGACAAAGAACTGGGGTATGAACAAAGCATCCCTGGAAACGGGTAGCTGCCGCTCTCGGGTGCCCTGCAATCTCCTTAGAGCGCATGCGCAACCTCCCCCCTCCCGGGAGCCACCCGTCCCCAGGGCCGCGCGGAAAGATGACGTCACGTATCCCCCGCGTCTCCCGCTTGCGGTCACTTCCGGTAGGTGAGGTCAGGGCAGGGGCCGCCATTTTGGTGTGGCAGGGCTGGGCGCGGAGCGGGGCACCGCGGGCGGCGGCGGCCCGCGGGGCGGGGGCAGCGAGTGCGGCCTGCGGGTGGGGCGGCCCCCATGGCCGGGCAGTTCGACTCCGAGGACCGGGGGAGCTGGTACTGGGGGCGGCTGAGCCGGGCCGAGGCGGTGTCGCTGCTGCAGGGGCAGCGCCACGGGACCTTCCTGGTGCGCGACTCGGGCACCATCCCCGGAGACTTCGTGCTCTCGGTGTCTGAGAGCTCCCGCGTCTCGCACTACATCGTCAACAGCCTGGGGCCGGCGGGAGGCCGGAGGGCCGGCGGCGAGGGCCCTGGGGCCCCGGGTGAGTGACCCCCAGGGCTGGCGGTGCCCCTCAGCCGCTGCGGGCCCCGCTGAGCGCCGCGTCCCGGGAGCTCCGCTCTCCTCACGGGCGGCGCTGCGAGTCGCGTTGCTCTTTGTAGAGGAGTTGAGGCTCGTCTTGCAGCCTGCACCTGCCTTGCTGCTAAACGTGCGTTGGGATAGAGCGCAGCCCGGAGCCGTCACGCGTTTACAGCTTTGTGCGTTCTTTTGTTTTCTTCATAAAGCTGTGAATGTGAGTGGTAAAGTGTGGATGCGGTGTGTCAGCTGAGCCTGGAGATGGATCTGTGGAAGAGTCACTTAAAAGGGTGAATTCGGTTGGAATAGTTTAGCTTTAAGAAGACAGGTTGTGAGGCTAAAACTTAGTCGTGAATCAGAGAGCTGGGTGGATTAATAAGTAGTGGGAGCTCCTCAGGAGTGTAAAGGCATTTGTTCCTTTAGATATAGAATTCAGGGCTCCCCCTCCTACACACACCTTGTGTTGTAAGGGGAGATTTGATGTTATTCCTCATTAACCTCTAATACAAAAACAATGTACTTAAATTAACCCTTAGAGAGTTGCTTTAGTATTGTGGAGGAGAAGACTGTATTGCAGAAAGCAATGATTCTGAATGAACAAGTGTAGCTAAGTGAACAGGAGCCCCCAGCATTGTGTGATCTGTAGATGTGTGGTGAGAAGGTTTAGTTAAACAGCAGCCCTGCTGGGGACGTTGCTGAAGTTGGTGGTGGAGCCACTCCTGTCTGGATATTAACGCTCACAGAACGATGTGGGTGTATTGCTGGCATCTCAGAGAGAAACCACTACAAAGTTTGAAAATCCATGTAATGAAGCTGTGTAATAGGAGATCTAATGAACTTGACAAGGATTGAAGTTGCTACAGAGACAAATAATGGATTTTTTTCAAGCTGTGCAGACTGTAGTTGGTGAAGAAGTAATCTGAAAAAAGAACAAATCTGTTGTTGGTGGGTTTGTACCATTTTACAATGATCTCTCCTGCTTGCTGTAACATTTAGAATTGGCAGATTGGTGAAAGCCTGAAGTCATTGGGTTCGTCACAGGAATCTGCTGTAAGGTGCATGCCAGTCACAGAAAGCTCTGCAATGCAGGAGATAAAGGTGGCTGCATTGAACTGGAAGCAAAGCGGGCAGTGAAGTGGTTTACTACAAGACGTGGTCGGTTCCTCAGCATTTCGTGTCTTATCAAAGCCAAGGTTTATTTTCATAGGTTTGTGGAGGCTTCATGTGTGAGATGTGTGACTGTTGCACAAAGCAGAATAAGTTTCCAGGGTGATTTGTAGTGGAATCCATCCTGATAGGATTTAAAAGTGAAAAACACTGAAGTTTGTGTGCCCGCCCTCTTTCTGGGCAGTTGTTTTCTGTAGAGTGGTTCATCTGTGGAAAACCAGTATTCTTTGTGTTGTTGAATGTATAATCCACATTCCTGTTGGATCACCTCAGTGAATGTAGGTGATCTTAAAGGCTCCTTCCAACCAGAGCCACTCTATGACTGTGAGATGTGCTTGATGTAGTTATCTTCTGTTTTAAACATCTGCTTTAGAAGACCAGCTGCTGTCATCGCTGTGTAGCTGCTCTGGCAGTAGGTTTGATTTGTGTTCAAAAGCTTAATTATTTTTTGGAAGTCCACTTTTTTGTCCCACCTTGATGTTATGAGAGTAGGTACTGCTTCACTTTCGCTCCAAAGATATTTCTGTGCTGCAATTCTAGTGGGTTTAGATGAAAGTCATGCTGATGCTGTGCTCTTCGCACTCAAACCCAAAGAAAGAAAGAGTGTATGTGTAGTAAATTGCATTTAACATCATTTCCATCAGAAAAAGTAGTAAGGAAAAAGGTTCTTTAAAGGAAGGGACGTGGTATTATTGGTAGAAGATTGAAGATGATTTCAGGTTTGGATGGGGAAGGTAGCACGGTGAAATGAGGTAAATGTTCACATAGAGCTGATTAGGAAAAATGACTTTATGATGTTATTTTTCTATATGGTATACTTATTTTTTTGCAATTCATTGTTTGGCAAATGCACACAACTCACTGAAAAGCCTAGATATGCCTGGTCAGGTTCCTGTGTTGATTTATTGGCTTCAGGCAGTTGAAGTGCACGTGTGATTCGTGACTGCTTGTACACTGCTGTGTGCAGGTGACAGTAGGAACCTAGCTTCAGTACAGAAGGAAATATTTGAACACATGTCTTTGCAGTTTGGCATACAAGCATAGGGTGAAAATGTCTGATGTGCACTAAAACAAAATGCCTAAAACATCTAAAGACATCTGAAGTGTTTTTTATTGAAAGGCCAGAAACCTCAAATCCATAACATTTTTCTTTGTGACATAGAAAAGTGTGGCAGAGTGGAAGGTGATGTCTTCAGTAAGTATGCATTTTACAAACACGCTTACTGCACTCCGTTGTGATTTTTTGAAAGATTCAGTCTGTGCTTCCTGGGCTCATGAAACCAGTGAGCTGGGTTTCACTGTTTTTTTAGAGCATTTCTGGGTGCTTGTCTGTTTTGCTCAGTAGTGAGCAGAGAGGCACTGAAGAACAAGGAAAAGAAGGCATCTGAATGAAGGTGGGGGACACAGGCAGAACGTTTTGCCTCTGTAACAGTTGCTCTAGGAGGAAAACTGTCATATGTCAGTGTGATCTCTTCAGAGAGCCTTGTCTCACCACCCTGAGCACCAAGAGCAGCCTTTCTTTCCCCAAACATGCTTTTGAAGATGGGGGGTAGGGGCTTACGGAGTGTGTCTAGAGATGAGATTGAAAACCTATATTCCTGTTAAGTCTTCCATGCCCTAAAAAGGAAAGCTTACCAAAGCTTAGGGATAAAGAGAAAACTGCCTAGTGGCACTGACAGAATGGGAGTGCAGAGAGAAATGTGAAACCCTTGAGGGTCTGATGAAGCTTGAAGCTGCTCTGTGGTTACGCCACCTGCCCACGCTCTCAAGAAGAATATTAGATGTTTTATTTAACACCTCTGTGAATGATCTTTTCCACACTGACACAAAGCCAACCCAGTGTAAAAGTCCTCCGTCAGGAAGGCCCATGTGTCACAGAGATCAGTCAGGGTCCAGATTTTACTCTTACATTAACTACGGGCTGCTTTGGATTTTAACCCCTTCATCACCCCTCTGGGAGCGGAGGTTTCGCTGTCTGTTTCCAAGTGGGTGGAATCACATTTAGTCCTAGCGCAGTTGGAGCTGGGATGGAGTAAGTAGGAAGGGTGATCCTCAGCTCTTTCCCTTTCTCATTCTAAGGAGCAGTCTTACAGAGCTGAGCGGTCCTGCAGCCGGAGGTGCGAGCTGAGCTGCTGTCCTTCCTTTGGCTCTGCAGAGCTGGGGAGGAGGGAAGAGGATTTCTTCAGTTGTCCAACTTTAATAGGAAGTGACTAAAGTTCCTCTAGAAATTAGGATTACCTTTGCACACATTCTGCTTTTCCTGAGAGCCCTCGGAAGATGCAGACAATATGCTGCTAGCACTTGTGTTTTCAAGAAAGCTGTTCCAGGGTTGTGAAGCAAAACAGCTCTGCTTCTGCAGAGAAACCAAAAAACAGCTCTTTTGCTTTGACTTCCTCATGGTAGATCATGCTTTAGTTTTTCCACTGGCCTACAGGTATGAGAAGTGTTGCAATTCAAACAAGTAGCTGAAGAATTCTGAGCCTGAAATCTGTTAATCTTTGAGTTTCATTGTAGCAGGGAATGGCAGGACTTGGAAGCTCCTAATGCATGGAATTATTTCCCTGCTGTGTGACATCACTCAGCTCGTTAACTTTGTAGCTGAACAAGAGTATGCACCAAAGACTTAAACTGATGAAGAGATTACCGCCTGCTTGGTAAGGTGTGGTTGTGTTTCCAACCTGTGTTTTCCTAATTGTGACTTTGAACTCTTCAGGCTTGTCGTGGTGTTTTTAGGAACCTTCTCATTAAAGTTTTCCGGGCAGTGACCTGGTTGCTGCCTTGATGTTCTTCAGCAATTTGAATTAAGCTCGTGTCTTTCTTGCTGCAAAGGTCTTGTTTTCCAGACCTCAAATTGCTGTAGCTGCCCTCTGCTTCTAAAACAAAAGAATCAGAATCAGCATGTGGCATTTGGGGCGTGTTCCCTTTGTGCAAATGGTGTGACTTGGTTTCGTCCCTTTGAGGAGCACGTTGAGCACTGTGATCTTAAAGTATTTGAAGGGGCTGCGTTCCCTCACTCTTCAATCACGCCAAATGTATTTTGGAAGGCTCATTTCTAGGCTGCAGTGCCCTGATGTCAGTCGCTCCTTCCTCACGCACAGGACATCAGTGGACTTTCCTCTAAAGAGTGAGTTTTATGTAGGTATGTTTGGCAGCTGTTTCAGGCTGTTAGGTGTTATTTCTAGAGTCTTACTCCTCTTTCTGAGCCAGGTTCACACATCACACTGATATTTACATTAGTTTTCTTATCTCTTGGTGAAGCCAGTGTGATTTTGGTTACTTTGGGTTTTTTTTTTTTGTAGTTATTTGAGACTGTTGCTTTTTTTGGCTCATTGCAGCGGGGCTGATTTCTTTTGAAAGCCCTTCAGCTTTTGATGCATCTCAACGTGCATTTTCCTATGGCTTAGTTCTGCTGCTTTGAATTTTTTGTAACCAACTTAACTGACATTTCTGTTCCTTCAGAACTCATCTATTGGCTGCTTGTGTTGATCTTACCAAATCTGTCCTTTCTCTGTTAGAGCCCCTTTTTGCTCTCTTGAAAGACCTTCTTGTAACGTTAGCTTGTTGTGCTGACGGTGCTACTTTGAAGGGAGTTTTGGATCAGCAACAGCCTGAAAAATTCTGCTAGCTTTGTACTCGAGAGCTCATTCTCAGAACTGTTAGATATTCCCTGCAGAGAAGCAGACTTGCAAAGTAAGCATCTCTTTCTTGCTAAGAGTTACTCATTAAAGCATAAATCTTTTCCTCTCCGCTGCCCTCCCCCAGCCTTCCACAATTCTTCCCATAACTGATTACACAGTGTATGGTGCATGGTGGAAATGGAACATCATACACGTGTTTTCCCCCAGCTGAGCCTGATGAGCATAAAAATGAAAAGAAAAAAGAAGTGCAGCTCCCAGATTGAAAACTGAAATGGATTATCTGCAATTTGATACTCCTGATGTCTTGAATATGAACATCATCTGCATTTTAATGTATCTGAGATCCGCATTTGCAGCTTAGATTCCATCTGGCAAATATGGCACAGAAAATATAAGAATGGAGATTAAAAGAATGAATTATAAGCCTTATGAGAACGTATTGTTGCTTTGCTGTGCTGTTTTTCTGTGGAGTCTGTGCTGTTAGAAATTATACCAGGACTTTGTTTGCTGTCCAGATTTAGACTTTCAGTGGTGGGAAAGAAATGAATTCTCTGTTCAGTGAAAATTGTGTAGGCTTCTGAGAAGTGCAGATGAACTGAAGGTCCGTAAAACATTGCAGGATTCTAGATACTTCTGTCGTAATTCAGGAAGTTTGGCAGTGTCAAACAATTTGTTGCATACTTTGGTATCACGAGCACCATCTTTAAACCTCTATCCTCATTAACGATATAATGCTCCCTTAAATTAAAAATACCAAGAAGAGCTGAATATGATAAGTGTTGATCTAAGGATGACCAAAATCAGTATCAGATTACTTGTCTGTAGAGGTATCAGTCTCCTCAGATGTTTAATTTGCAGTTGTAACTGTTGTTCACTCTCTTTGTTGACGTTTTGCTTTCTCTTTTCAGGGTTGAATCCCACCAGATTTCGAATAGGTGACCAGGAGTTTGATTCTTTGCCATCTTTACTGGAATTCTACAAAATACACTATTTGGACACTACAACCTTGATAGAGCCAGTTTCCCGATCCAGGCAGAATAGCGGCGTCATCCTCAGACAGGAGGAAGTTGAATATGTGCGAGCTCTCTTTGACTTTAATGGAAACGATGACGAAGATCTTCCGTTTAAGAAAGGAGACATACTGAAAATCCGGGATAAACCTGAAGAGCAATGGTGGAATGCAGAAGACAGCGAAGGAAAGAGGGGAATGATACCTGTTCCTTACGTCGAGAAGTGTAGACCTTCCTCTGCTTCAGTATCTACTCTGACTGGAGGTAACCAGGATAGTTCCCACCCACAACCACTGGGTGGGCCGGAGCCAGGGCCCTATGCCCAGCCCAGCATCAACACTCCGCTCCCTAACCTTCAGAATGGCCCTATTTATGCCCGGGTTATCCAGAAGCGAGTCCCTAATGCCTACGACAAGACAGCCTTGGCTTTGGAGGTACATAATGGGCAAAACTCAGAAAGAAGAGATCTGTTCAAGGGATTTCCCTTTCCATCACATTATAATTCTGTAGGAATAAGGAAGGGAAAAAAGCACTGTAACGCTGGTTTTGCATCATGATTGATAAGTTATTGATATAGCTTTGATTTTTTTTTAAATAAGTGACTGAAGTCACTTATGGACTAGCTTGATTATAAGCATGCTTAGCTTACTGATCCAGTGTTGTCTCTTGTCACACATCACTAACATAAGTGTTTCCCCATCCACATTTCACTTCTGAAGTCATTATTTTCGGGGGAGGGATTGGGTGCGGCTCATAATGTTGTGTGTCAGAACCTGTGTTCAGTGTTGCGTGCCTCCACCCCAGCCTTTAAAGGTGTGCTGAGTCGTTCTGTCATCCTGTCTGCCTTTAAAAGCAACCAGTGGAAGCACTCATAGTCGCTTTGAAATTACTCACACTGAGGCAGTAATGATCCTGCGTAGGGGTTTATTTTAATGCCTTGACCTCAAACAGATTGCTTCATTTTTGTAGACTGTGAATCATGAACATATATTATAACTCAGTAGGGAGGAAAAGTAGTGACTGATGGAGTATTATTTGTAATAAAGCAATGAGTTTCCCTAAGGTTGATTCACTTCTTGATATGATCAAATACTGATCCGTGCTCTTTTTGATTATTTTTTTTTTTCCCCTCTTAAAAAGGAGAATAGTGCTCAATCTCTACACACCAAATAGTTATCCTCCAAGTTACATTTGAGGAAATTGAGGCCAAGGTATTCGAAGTGGCAGACCTTTGCCTTAGGATGATATGTAAATGATATCCTTTAATCTAGGCTTTCTTTGAGTTAAACGCTCTGGAATTTCCTGATACCTAATTGACTTCCTGTTTATATGACAATTTAAGTACTTGGGGAAAAAACAGTTTCTGTGCTGAGTCAGAACATCTCTGCACTCTTAATAATTTGTTTAATTTTGTGTGGCATAAAATGCACTGGAATATTTCAGCAATGTGGCGAGCACATGTGCGTGTCTTTAGAACACAATTGGCAAATGCAGCACATTCTACAGATCTGGTGTATAACCTGGGAGAGCTGACATTTTTTCCCCACTGTACATAAAAATTTGCCTAGGGAAGCAGTGGAAATATATTCTCAGTTATTGTAAGCTTTGTTGCACTTCTGGATTGAGAGCCAGGATACGGAATGGAGATTTTGGGGTTGAAAAGCATCTGTGTGGAAGTTCATGCCAACTCAACAAATTCTGGGGAAATATGCAAAGATTTTAACCTTCCAATTTCTGTAATACCTGAAATGCTGTTTCCTTTCCTCTCTTTCTCACCATCTCACCTAGGCACCTCCTGGAGCTTCAGAATATTTCTGAGCATCATGGAGTGTTCCAATCAGATTTCCTTAGAGGCATTCTAGTTTGCTGCATATTGTATCAAAATCTTTTGGTTTTCTTTCTGGATTTTGTTTTTAAGCTTTAACTAACCCCAATGTGCTGCCAGTGTTCCTTTAAGCTTAAACTTGTGTCGTTTCCTTTAAAGCAGAGCCCCACCGTGCCACTCAAATTCTAGTTTGGTAGCATAGAGCAAAATGGTGAGGATGAGGAAAGTGCTGATAATCTGGGCTGCTGTGAGCAAATCCGAGTGAAAGCAGAATTCCTTACCCACTGGCTAACAGCTTGCGAGTGCTGTGGTGGTTTTCTTATCCTCTTCAATGACTTTCTGTCAAGTGTGTTGTGCTTTTGGAAGGTGTTGTTTCATGGAGGGCATCTCATTGTTCTGAACCACCTCCCTCTGCTGTGGTTTTCTCGTGCTAATATGCTGCATAGCAGAAGTGTGCAGGGGCTGGAATGGAGAAGTGCACAGGTTCTGCCTGTTGTGAGGACAGAATCAGATTCATAGCACCTCTGCCTGTCTGTTAGGGCAGGGATCTTCATGGACCATGTCATCTTACTGGAACGCTTGCTGGTTGGCAGGTTGGGCCTCTCAGAGAGGATGATGTGTACCCATCCTGCTGTATGCTGTTAGCAGCAGTAGTTCTTTATTCTGTACTTAATATTGGGAAAACTTACTTGTAAGACTTGAAGCATGTATCCCTGCTTCTAATTGTGCTTCCTTTATGTTACTCTTCATCAAATCACAGTGTTATTGAACTGCTTTCCGTGTCCATACAGGAAAAAGCAGCGGTGTGCTCTTTACCCTTCCCAGTTTTTCTTCATCCTGTCTCTCCAAGTACTGTTTCTCGTTGTCTTTTTTTCTGTTTTTAACATTCCCTTTCACTTCATGGTGTTTCTTCTTCATTTATTCAGAGATCTCTTTCTTCAATGGCTTACCAGAAAGCATTATGTAAATCTTTTCAGTCCATTTTTGCCCAAACCTCTTAACTATAAATCTAAATTTGTTTCCTCCAAATGAAAACTCTGTCTTAAATGGGGTGATATTTGTAGGTGGGGTTTGATCCCAGTGTTTGTCCTAAGCAAATAAAATTGTTAACATCAAACAGTTTTGTGGCCCAAACTGCAAACAGAACTATCTGTGCTGTTAGGTTCAAACTAACATGGGTTTGAAGAGCTTAGAGGAGGATCAAAGCAAATTATGTTCTAACAAAGGCTGTGCTGTGCTGTGGAGGAAGGTTTTAACCCAAGGCCACACTTAATTTGCTTGTAAGTGGACCTCTCCAAGAAGTCGTTGGGTATCTTTGAGGGAAGGGAACATCGATTTAGTTAACGACTCTGAGGTCGTTCCACCTTAGTTTGTTTCTCCTCCCCTCAGTAACAGTACAGGACTCTTCCATCTTCACATTTCAAGAGAAGCACTTGGAATAAAAAAGTCTTTACATGAAGCTTCGTATTTTACTTTGAAGCAGCAATTGAAAATTCATAAGAGATCTGCTCCAAGTCTGGCTTGATAGCAGAGTGCAGTGCTTTCCTTGGGTTCTGGGCTTGGTGGGATGATGTGCAACAGACTGGTAATAGCATTAATCAAAGTGAGCAGAATTCAGAGGGAATATCCTCTTCTGGTGTAAAAATGTGGAAGTTCCAGCAATTGTAATAATGGGTAGCTTTGCTAGAAGTTTCTCTGTGTTGTCTTCATTTTGTAACTTAGTGGAGGCAGAATTGCCCATGCCACACCACTGGAAGTTTCCGTGCAGTTCTGCTAAGCACAGTGGGCACATTGCATCACTGTTAATACGTTACCATAGGTAAGTAGTGTGGATAGAATGAGCCTTGGTCTGTGGTCCACAGAACATAGAATGGCTCCCACAATAAACATAGAAGTGTTTCCAACTTCAGTAAGGATGGAAAAGGGAAAATTACAGGTAGGAGGGAAGTCTGAGAGAGCAGATGAGAGCAGTGCATGCACATTTAGCTATTTAAATATTACTTTGTTGTAAATAAAAACAACTGAAGTAAGATTATCCAGGATCTATTAAGGATACAATTCTAGCTTGAAAAAATACAATAGAGAAGCACAGATGACTACAAGTGTCTTTAATTGCAGATTCCATCAGGATAAGTCGGGCTGTTCAGTTAGACAGGACGTGCTTTTCTCATTCATACTGGTTTGGAGGCCATACGCTTTGCTGTTGGAGCACTGTGTCCAGATCTGAAGTAATTTAGTGTGTGTAGGATAGTGTTCTTGTAATGGTTATTGTTAGGAAAGAAAATTTTTTTGCTTCTACTATAGTCAGATTTAATTTTTTCCCTATTAAATTATAGCTTTCTATTGTTTTGGTCAACGGAGTATTTTTTTATTGCTACAGCCCCCCAGTGATTATTAGCAGTAGCAAAACGATACACACTGCGTGATTAAATTCCTTCAGAGCTGAAGCTAGCGTACAGAAGTCATGGAAAGCTTCCTTTTTGCCTCTAGCAAATACATAAGAGGATTTTCTTCAGAATACGGCTCATGAAAATGTCTATGCTAATTACTACAAAGGGAAAGAAAACAAAGCTGCAGCAAGAGTCCCCTGTGTGCCTCTCATTACCAGATAAGTAATCATCAGAGTTATGGGAAGCTTAATTAAATGTCCATGCAGTGTTTTAAATGTACGCACTGTTAAAAGCTGCTTTGGCAAGAGATTGCAAGGGATTAGAACTTGTACAGTTAACAGAGACTACTAGCATCTGAAATTGCTTTCCTTATTCTTCGTTCACTGCCTGGGAAGTGAGAATAATGAGCTTCTGCTTTGGATGAATTGGGCACAGTGCTGAGCACGTACATAACTGTATACTCAGTGACTTTCTGGGTTAAATGCAGTAAGACACTGCAGCTGTGCCTTGAGAGCTTATTTACAGCATTAGTGAAAGAAAATAGAGTATATCTGTCCCCATAGTATTTTCTGTCTGTGACACAGAAAAATTCTGAAGATTGCTGTGTTCCTCGTAAGTAAGATTACTGATAAAACTGTACATAGAGGGGTAGAAGTGGGCAGGCAGCTTTTTGATGTCACACGTCTTTCACTGAGTTTGTAAATCATTGTACAAGTTCTAGTTCACGTATCCTTTAAGGTGCAGAGGAGTTGGGCACTGAGCAGGCCTAGAGTTGTGGCCCTGCTTGGAACTGCATAGCTATGGAACGACACACAAAGTCAGCCTTGGGAAAATATCTGCTGTGCAGTTTTTTTGACCTTGTCAAAGGAAGGCAATTCTTCTAGATTTAATTGGTTATGAATTATGCTGGAGATTAGAAGATGAGATGCATTACTGTGCTTTTAGTCAGTGCAGTACGTAGAACTGGATGCTTTTAAACACAGCACGTTGTTTTGTTGGGCCACAATAACTATTATTTTTCTAGTCGAACATTTTGGGTATAAAAGGAGGAGGGCATCAGTTGTCTTCACTGCACCCATGGAGTTTATTTGAGGAATCTGTGGACAAAAGACTGAAAGATCATCTGGCCTTGCCTGTGGTAATGGCTTGATGTGAATTCGCAGAGAGTAAGAGCAGTGCAGTGTTAAGGCAGCACTTCTCCAAACATTCTCCTACTGCTTTATAATCTGTGACTCTGCAAACGCAGCCCCCAGTTATCCCAAACTCCTTCAGTGCTACGTGGAGAGCACTTGGAGGAATTTCAGCATTAAGGAGCCATTTAGTTTGTAGATGTTTCCTTCATCCACCTGCATTCCCTCACTCCCTTCTCTTGCAGGGCCGTTGATGCAGTACAGCAGAGCACAAACCTCTGTCAGTTCAGCCACATCCAGTTACTGTGATAGCAGCTGATGTCAGGGCCCAGACGTGCTCTGAAAGTTTGGTCTTGCTTGCAGACTAAGGGGTAGTTCTCACCTAGCCTAGCTAGTTTCTTTCTATATGTTCTTCATGAGTGAGAAACGTGAGGTGGTAGGCTGGTGCATCAAAAATGGTTAAGACTGAAACTGCTTTGATAGAATTATCTGTGGTACACTTGATGCAGCACCGAGGGGGAGGAGCAGCAGCTCATCCTGTGCGTGCGTGTGAATTGTAACTTTCCTTATTCCTTCCCCTGCAGGTCGGTGAGCTGGTAAAGGTCACAAAGATTAACATGAGTGGTCAGTGGGAAGGAGAATGTAATGGCAAACGTGGTCACTTTCCATTCACACATGTCCGCCTGCTGGATCAACAGAATCCTGATGAGGACTTCAGCTGAGTGTGGCTCAACAGTTGCGCTTGCAGATGGGAACAATCTCAACTTGTTTTTATTGCAGAAGCCATCCAGACTGTGTTCTGACAGAGGCTGAAAGCGGTATTGCTTGTATAAGCATTCTGATAACCTGCAAACCCCTGGGACTGAACACCACCATTCCTTAATCAAGGGTCACGTAATTCAGGGTACGACAGTAGATAAGTTGTGTGTCAAGTGGCAGAACTAGTACATGATTATAGGTTGTAATGCCTGCTTATGTCCATGTGCACAGCAGACTGGACCTTGCCAGGAGCATCAGCTGGAGAGAGCAGTAACAGAGACGTTAGGACAGCATTTACAGCTCTCTCCAGTCCTTTTCTTTATGTTGCTTCTCCCTCAGGCAATGAACATCAACCTTAGACAATTCAATGTATAGATAGTTTGTTTGGGTTGGTTTTTTATTCCCCACAAATTTATCCTGGAGCTTTCTCCATTTTATTTTTTCCATCCTGAATTCTCTGTCCTAGAAATGCTGTGTAGTACTTTGCATGGTGAGTTAACTATGCACAGTACAGATATTTTAGAGCACACTGGGGACAGCCTTATGATTTACAAATACGTACCATTTTAATGGTAAATGACAGAACAAATCAACCTCAGAATTCTGGACGCTGGTGGGCACTAGATTGATTTATTCAGTACTGTTGATGCTTCAGACATAGCAGCTAATTTTAATTTAAATTTTCTATTAACACGCCAGTAACTCTTTATCCACAAGTAGAAGGCTTATTGAAGTGTAAACGTCCATACCAGTGCTGAAAAATAAATGTGTAAAAGCACTTTAAGGCGTAGCTTTAAGCAGTGTTTGATTCACTAAATGTACTCAAACGTTTACACTGCTTTGAGAAAAAGATAAATTCCACAGGGCCTGTCTAACTAGTCTAGAACTGTTCAATACCCGTATGCATTACAGTACAAATCATTGTCAAAAGTGGTGAACTGACAAAGCAAATACTACTTCTATTTTGAAATCACTCTGGGGACTCTTCTGGCTTAATTCTCATCTGTAAAATATTTGATAGTGAATTCATGAGGATTTTATTTTTAATAAACTAATGGAAAATACTTGTGTGCTTCTGGATTGATTTTCAAAAGGAGTAATAGAGTCACTCTGGCTTCATAGCTCACAATGCAAATCAGTGCGTTGGATAGTTGGTATTATGCACTGCTTGTTGGTTTTGTTTGTTGTTTTCTAAGCCTGTTCTTCTAATTATCTGGTTTTCTCTAACATAAATCAGAATGGATTCAGTAAGTTTTGTAAACTGAAATTAAACACTGAAGTAACGAACCCTTGTCTGTACCCTGGATTGCTTTCCAAATACAGCACTCAAGTGACCAAGCAAACAAATTCTCTAACTTTGACTAGGTCATAACCCACACAGAACAGCTGTTTCTAAATAGTATCAAACTGAAGATGTTGATGTGGTTGATACAAACCGTGCCAGGCTAGAATGTCTCACTGGCTGTAGATGCTGTAGGGCCAGTTTTCCCACTGCAAATGCCATTGCTGCAAGGCACCGACCCAGCAGACAGAATACTGGTAACACTTTACCTCAGAACTGTGTAACATGCTGGAAACGTTAATATTTGTTATATTTAAGTACTAGTTGCTTTCCTTCAGAACTAATTCATTAGCAGGTCTAATTTTCAGGTAACGGGCACCCGATAATCCTGTAAATGAATGCCAATGTACATTAATTGTACTTTTCTATCACCAATCCCTTAAGCAGTACTAAAGATTATTAGCAAACTGATAGTTGTTATAACAGCAACCCAAGAATAACAGTAAGGAAGGAATTGCAGAGCTGTTCCAGCTTGGATGGTTCTTCTGGGCAGGGTGATCTGCTGCTCTATTGAGAGATCACTTCTAGCTCTGTACTCAGTCTCCACTGAGGAAACAAATTCAGAACCTAACTCAAGGGCCAGGAACAAATTGGTGTATTTAAGGCTAAGCTGTATTTTTCCTCTGGTCTTACTGCTTGTTGCCACTGATTTTTCACTAGCTGCATTCTAATGCAGGCGTAACACTGAGTGTATCAGTTGCCCATATATGCTAATACTTCAGGTTTTACAGAAGCAGCACAACAAACTGTTCTTAGAGTGACACAGTTTGTTCTGAAGCATTTTTTTCCAGTTGCAGTTAATTGAAGTCCATACGTTTATACCTTTCCAGTCAGCAGTTATTTTAAGAGAGCAAAATAACTTTTTTTTTCCTGAAAGGAATTTTATTATGCAAACCTTGCCTTTTTAATACGAAAGACATAAATGGAGTTGTTGACTAGCAAATACCCTGCAAAGTTTGTAGATGTGTTTTTGTGAAGACTGTATAAATTGCAAATATTTGTACACTTTGAGAGAGCAAAAAAGAAAGTAGAGGAGTCTTAATAGCTGCTGTTGCACTAGAATCTTAAGTTCTTGTCAAGCAGTTTTTCTTAATCAACCAATACATCCATGCAGCTGTTTTCCACTGTTCAGTTCTAAGCTGAAATGTGAGTTTTTTTCATAGGTGATAGAAATTAATGTTTGCATTTGTGCGAAATAGACATTTCAACTTATCGAGCTCTTTTAAAGGAAAATAGCTAGACCATACGTTCATGATCATGTAGATTAAATCCTCTGTGGCCTTTGTTTATCCTCTTCTGTTTGTTCTCTCCCTCTTCCCAGTGCGTGCAAAGAATCATTGCGAAGACATTGGTCACAATCTTTTGTCTCTGTCTGGCTGTGGTTTTGCTCTGTTGTGCATAGGCAGGTGTTAGAACTAGAATAATAACTTCTAGAATACACCGTGAAAGCAGAATGCTCAATTACACTGTGTTCTTCTGGTGCATTTACACATTCTATCACACTAAAAGTACAACTGGCTGCTATGTTTTTTTAATATAGATTTCATTTTGGTAAACCCCAGCCTTTTTACTAATATTTGACCTGGTTAAATCTTGTTAATCTGTTTGAATTGTATTTGTTAATAATGCAAATATTTCTAATCATCTTAGGAATAAAACACTTCATTTTTGTTAATGGTTTTGGGGAAGGATTCTAACCAAACCAGTTTGAAGAGAAATATGAACATGTGCCATTGTATTATAACACTATCCACTTTCTTGACAGTTAAAAGTCTTTTTTTTAATTATTTTTTGTAGCATGTAATGTATATGTTCATAGTATGTGAAGTAAATAAAAGTATAGCCAAAACTTTGGCTTGGTGTCCTTCTCAATCAGCTGTCATTGTAATACCTGTGTTGAAGAGTATAGAAACAGAAGTGCTGTTAAGTCTGCTTTTAATTAACCACGCTTATATTAAAACAATTAAACCTATCACCTGGAGAAGAAAGACAAGATGACTAAAATAAGTTATCAACCAGAAAATATCACAGCCTTTTTCAAGCAAGGTGAATGTCTGTGACTATCTGAGTTCCTTAAGTCCGGGGGGAGGGTGAAAAGTATTCTCACTGCAGAAGGACTCATGAAGAAAGTAAAAATGAGATTTGTCAGTTATTAGTCTCACTTCTGACTAGAGGGATGCATTGGAAAATAGTTTGGGGATTCTTTAGATGACTTAAATCAAAATTCCCCCAAACATTTGGCCTTCTGGAGGTGCTCTTTAGCTCACAAGGCCCTTGCTGCATAGAATAGGCCATATTTTATACACCCAATTAAAACACTGTTTACTATACTGTGTGTTGGTTCTGGGAATATGCAGGGAGGAGTCTTGATAGTCAGCAATCCTCTTTCTTGCTGGTAAGTTCAACAATGGCATTTGTTTTCTTTCACTACATCACAAAGCACTCCGCATTTTAGTTCACTGGTATTCAGTTGGCAAGTTACTACACATAACTTTCTTCATCAGTACTTTGGTGGAGTCCCCACGTGGGACTTTACATTTAACTATACCGAGATGCCAGTTTTCCTGTCGTGCCTCTGCACAACAACCCCATGAGCCTCATATAATAAGTTTCCACAGGCAGAAGAAGCATTGCCCTCAGCTTTACTCCTTGCTCACCTACCTCAGTATTGGTATTTGCAAATCTGTGGCTTTGTCGTGCAGGATTTATGCAGAGAACTGTTGCTGCTCCTTGCAGTGGTGATTTTCTGTCGCAGTCCAATCGATTGGTGTAAGCGTGGTGGGTGCAAAGGACGAGGTGAGGATTGCATCAGGAAATCGAGGATCACGTAAAGTCCTGACGTTGAGGCAAATCTAATTTATTGTGCGCAGTCCCACACAGAACTAAGCCTTAGCTGCTGAGAAAATAGGCTTTTTAGGTTAAGATTTATGAAGTGCAGAGGTGATTTGAAGTTGTACAATGTTACACCAATGCACGGTGTCTGAATACTGCTGGGATTTTTCGGATGCCTACCAGAATCCTTGGTAACTGCTGTGTCCTTACGGACAATTAAGAGGTAAAGCTCTACCATGATTCCCAGTTTCAACAAAATCTGCATTTTCTGGTCATATTTCCTTCAGATTGGAAATAGTTTTTGTGTTTGTTTTTTTTTTTTTTTTTTTTTTTGTGTTTTTTTTTTTTTTTTTTTTTTGTCTTCCTGGACTTGATGCCTAATTTTCACCTCAGTCCAGAGACGTTAATATCTTTGTGCTTTCCTGTATGGAATTCTGATCAAATAATTCTTAGAACTGAACAATAGTTGGGCTCCAAAAGGTGGGAACAGACCGTTTCTGGGCATTCTTATACCCAGAACACATCAGAACACACACACACACACACACACACCCGGCCGTTGCTCCCCGCTCTCCCTCACGCGAGCAGGGCTCCCTGCCAGCCCCTCAGCCCCAGCTGCTCCGCACCTCTCGGCTGCCGTCCCACGGCCGCCGCTCAGGAGCAAATGGCCGCGCTCCCAACCCCGGCCCCGCCGCCTCCCGCCCGTTGCTAAGGAGCCGCCGTTGCCATGGGAAGCCGGAGGGCGCATGCGCGCGGTTGTGGAAGTGCCCGGATGCAGCGGGAGGCGGTGCTGCCGCCATATTTGCCCGGAGAGCAGCGAGCTGGTAGCCGCTGAGCCCCCCAGACCCCATCGGCTTCCATCCGCCCCGTACGCTCCCCGACGCCGCTCCGCCTGCAGGACATGGACGATCGGGAGGACCTCGTCTATCAGGCTAAGTTGGCCGAGCAGGCCGAGCGCTACGATGGTGAGCGCCGGCTGGGAAGGCCGTGCAAGGCCAAGGGGAGAGGGAGGGAGCGGCCACAAAATGGCGGCTGGGCGGGGGCGGGGGGGCAGGGGCGGAGGAGGGGGGCGCCGACAAAATGGCGACGGGGAGCGCCCCGAGGGCCGCGGAGCCGGGGATGGGGGGCCCCGAACGAGCGGGCGGCTGCGGCCTGGGCGTGGCCCGCTTCGGGGGGCGGTGGCGGCAGAAGCCGGGAATAAAATGGCGGCCGCGAAGGGCGAGTCCCGGGGGGGAAGGGGAGCCGCCCCCGCCTCGGGGGTCCGACAAAGAGACCCCGCATCCTGCGGGTGGCGGCGGGCGGCTCACCTGTGGTGCGGGGCCGTGCCGCCCTCCGGCCCCGCGGAGCTCGGCGCTGTGGGGCCGAGGTTGGTTCGCCGCAGACAACGCCCCGCGCCGGCCCTCGGGAGGCGATGCCGGAGGGGCCCGAGGGAGCGGGATGGCGCTTCTCTTTCTCTCCCTTCGCTTTCCGTTGGAGCCCGTAGAGGGACAGCTCTCACCCTGCAGCGCTGCCCGGCATTACCTAAAGGAAGAGCACATGCTCGCGTTACGTGCTGGAAATCATTACAGACCGTTTTACATTGCCGCTTTGTCTTTTTTTTTTTTTCTTTTTTTCCCCCCCTGTTCACCTTATGAACAACTTCATGAGCTCCGTGCCCGATCCCTTCATAGCAGGGGAAAAAAGGGGCGGTGGGAAGGAGCTGGCAGCCCCGGATGGTGTTTCTTGCCCCCAAAATGTCTGCCGTGTGAGTGTTGCCTTCAAGGTGCTTTTCTTGCCTATAGCAGAAAGGGCCTTTAATTTTCTCGGTGGTGTTAATCATCTGGGATTGTTCCTTCTGCCCTCAGACCCGTGTTTATGCATTTCAAGTGGAAGAAACACAAGTGTGTGAATAGGGTGTGAGTACAGTTAGGTTTCATTTAGAAGTAGGGAGATGCTGTGGATCCTTGAGTTGGTCACAGTTTTCACAGAGCAGAGGAGTCAGCTGGTGAGAATTAGGCATTGTTCTCCGAGTTATTGCTTAGAAACCTTCTGATAATGTGATTCCAAAACATCTGAGAAATACGCATTTTGGGGAGGAAAACAGAACCTCAAATGAAGGAAGGAGTAATTAAGACCATCTGCAGTGAATGTTCTGGTAGGAAGTAGGGTAGGGATAAGAATCCCACTGGGTGACAGCAGCCAAATAGGCTCCTCACTGTTAATGTAGGGGCTTAAAGGGAAAAAATGCCCCCCCAAACCTGGTATTGTGGGGTGACTGAGGTCCACCTCTCCAAGTAAGATGCAGCTCATAATAGGAGAGCAACATCTGTGGGTACAAGTGGTTGAGGAGGGGGTTGTAGATTTGGGGTGTGTTTGTTTTTTTTGTCTCCTTAGCAGTGTGGGATGGGAAGGTGCATTGTTCTCCCTGCTGCCATCTTCCACAAAGACCACAAAGCAGTATTGCTGGAGTTGAGTGTTTGTGTGTGGGGTGGGGGAAGGTTTGTCCACCTGGTACAGGTGAGTGTCAGTGCAGCACTGAGCACTGGCTGTGGTTTGATTGGAACCCCAAACCAGCTGTCTGGGGGGTTAATTATCTTTGGGAGCTTTTGAGGTGTAACTGTCTGATGCTTTCCTAGATAAATGGTAAATCACTTCTTTGGAAAGTAATCAGATCCCACCCCATCATAGCAATCTACAACACAGCCTGATTTCCTGACGAAAAAGAAAGGGTTGATAGAGATTGCCTTTGTGTGGCATTTCTGTCAGTGGGCTTTCCATCCCAATGCTCCCATGGATGTTTGCAGAATGAATTGGCTAGATCAGAATTCAGAGGCTTGTGGCTTCTGAATGGCAACGAGAACATGATCACCAAGGAGGTGATGATAAGTTTAGTGTTCTTATCTTTAAAGCAATATTGTGGGTTTTAGACTTGCAGAATTTGTTGGCATCGAGTTGAGTCAACAGATTTAAGGTGCATCCCTTAATTCTCTTAAAGGTGTCCTCCTTTCTCATGTCCCTGGCCTTGAAAAATATGTACTGTAGGTGCAGGTTTAGCATCTAATTCCGTGTTCTTGTTCAGTTGGAACCAATTAAAAAATGAAAAGTATATTTTGTTCTCATTTATATGAAATACTGCGTTCCTGCTGAGGCTGCTCACTGTGAATGAAACGGTGTGGGGAAGTGAAGTGATGCTTAGTTTTGTTCTTTAGCTTTGTCTTTGAGATACGTGATGGTGAGGTAACAGTTAATAACTTTCAGATGCTACTGATGGTAAGTACTGGCTACAAATATGCTGGAATAGAAACCTGTTCTGCGACTTGAATATGAATGTAAAATGTCAATTTTTAATGTTTAATGTTAGGATAGCATTACGTTCTGCCCCATCTTTCTCACTGAGACTCAGCATGCTGTGTGCTTAGAACAGCCATGATCCATGGCATTTAAGGCAGCTCCTAAGGTAGGCATCTAACAAGTTTTTTGGTTTTTTTTTTAGTTACATGACCCACTTAAGTTCAGAAGCTTGCAAGCTGTGCCTGCGAGTTGTTGGGAATCTAGTCCTGTGCCTGCACAGCCCTTGGGTACATTGGCCCAGATTAAGAGGACATCTTTCTTGGGTGCTTTTGCAGTGTAAATAACGCTTAAGCTGTGATCTCTAGAGATAGTGAGAGATCTGGGTGTCTGACTATCTTTACAGATCTGCTTAGGCATGTCATGACAGACCACAAAATGCCAGGAAGCTTACTTGTGTTAGAGTAAGCTTTGTGACAAATCATACTTCAGAAAAAAAAATCACACTTACCTGCAGTTCACAGTATCATAAAATGGGCTGGGTTGAAAAGGACCACAGTGATCATCTGGTTTCACCCCCTGCTATGTGCAGCATTGCCAACTAGCAGACCCGGCTCCCAGAGCCACGTTGCCTTGAGTGCCTCCAAGGATGGGGCATCCACCACCTCCTTGGGCAACCTGTTCCAGTGTGTCAGCACTCTGTGTGAAAACCCTCTGAGTTCCTTCAAAGACTGTTATCAATAGTATAATATATGTATGAAATGTCTTTTCTGGGGAACAACTGGAGTAGATAAAACTGCGTTGGTTTATGAAATCACCTTACTAACGTTTTACTTTCTTACATCAAGAGATTGTATGTATCTGCCTTCTCACGGACTGCTGAATGTCAAAACTAACTCTCCGTTGCAGAAGCTAGGTAGCACCTTTCTTCTCATCAGTTGAGAAGCATGCTAGGATAGAAGGTAAGCTCTGGGTGAACACTGCGGGTGCTTCAGTCCTGCTAGCAGTTTTGTGCCACAGATCTTGAAATACATGATTTGAAATTTACCCAGGGTGAAGTAGGTGAGGATAATAGGTCAGTTTACAGCTGGGAAGAAGATAATTGGCAGCTCTACTGATTCCCAGCACAGCAAGTCAACACGTAACTCCCATGTTGCTATTAACTCACTGCCGGAAAAGCAAGCCTTCACTCTGAAGGCAGTAAGGTGTGCTGCAGTACACTGAATCCAAGATCTGAACATGCTGTAGAATGAGTTGGCTCATGGTAGCAGGACTTGCAGTTACAGCTTGATGAAGAATCAAGTTCTCATTTCTGACACAGATTAATGATTAAGTTGTTCATTATTTTCAGTCTGCAGTGGTCCTCTTTCAGGTAAATAATGTACGTGTATCTAAGGGGTGTAATTCGCCTCTCCCAGCAGAGTTCTGTGAGAGGACCTTCCATAATTTCCTTCCTGAAGCTTCTGAGATACCAGAAGTGTTGAGCATCCAAACTTAGACGGCTTGGTGCTCTGCAGGGAGGCCACATACTGGGTAGTGCCCACTAACTTGCTCAAGTCCTTGTGTAAGAAGACTGTAGTAGCAGATCTCAGTCAAACTGCAATGTGTGATGAGACTCAGCCCTTGTGTTTGCCTGTGTCTGCTTTCAAACTGACTCTTGTCAGTAGTCCTCTTTGTTCTAGGAAAACACATCTTCCCAACTTGAAGATGTAGAAATGACTTAGAAATTGTGTTGGTAGTCTATGGGATTGATTGTGCAGAAAATGCCACTGTTACTTGGATTATTTGGCCTAGATCATGTATATCTTCAAGAGCATTGAAGTAGTTACAAGTGGTTTGTAGAACTGTGTGGTGCAGAGTCGTACAGTCAAATGTTGGAGTTGTCTGGGATGCACAGGCAGTTAAAATCTTAGTTTCTCTTGCCTTGGATTTGGAGCTGATCACTGCAGTGAGGAGGATGGTGCCTGCTGATATCGAATGGATCAGAGGGCTGCACGTCTGGAGAGAATGGAATCTATAGGCTGTAGTTCTCATGGTTACACATCACTTAACAGGGAAAACATGTGCCATTATTTCTGCTGCTCTCTGGTCTTTATTGCTCTTAGCAATTTGCTGTGACTATTAAATTAGTACTGAACATTCTTTTTTTTCTGGATCCACTTACAAAAGCTAGCATACTTCCTAGCAGTGATCACTGTGTGGTTCCACTGGTGATCTTACTCTGCTCTGAGCACTGAGCCTGTATTCATGCCATTTGCTCTCTTTCAGCCAAGTGTCCGTCCATGGGAGGATCTGATCTGTATCTGATAGCAGTAGAGTTCGTTAAAGAACCTCGGTGAGGGGCCCTGGCAAATGCCTCGAGGAAATCTGGGTAGATTGAATCCCTCGTGTCCTCCTTGTCCATGGGTGTGACTTGCTCAGAGCAGCAGAGTAGATCTGTGGGGCATTGTGTGCGCTTACAGAAAGCCATGCTCTTCAATATAGCATTTATGATCCACTCATTATTTTTTTTTAATGAAATAATTGCTCTTGAGCACTTGGAAGTGTTATGTTAATAGCAGTTCTCCTTTAATATCTGCTGGCACGTTTCTTAAAAGCCTTCTTCCTTCTGCTGCTGAAATCTTAGAGAACATGCATGAGTTGGGGATCAGGTACTCCATTCTGGGTCCTTCTGGTGTGTTGGTGGCTGTGTTTGGGTTGTGCCTTTACCAGTAGTGCAAATACTGGTTGTGGTGAACACAGGTGAGCTAAGAGGCATTGTCTTCCCCCATCAGCCATAGCTCAGGCCAAGTGGTTTCTGTTGCCACTTGTGTTAATTACTGACCTAGACTTGCATTTTCAGTCTGAGTAGCATAGATGATAATGCTGTCAGGTTTGTTCTGGTGTTGTTTGATGCACAGTGCTGCTCCTTCCTAAGGTCTGCTGTTAAATGTTGGATTCTGCTTGGAAAAGCTTGTAATTCTTCCAGAAAATGTGCAGCGTGTTGCCTTCTTCTATGCTTTACATAAGGATGCTCCAGTTCCTGAATTGTTGGGACTTCTGGAGTTTGAGGAACAGAAAATACTTGGAGTGTCTCTTTATTTTTCCCCCGATAAAGAGATGTTCGCTCTTTTGTTCTGTATGTTTCCTCATCACTTCTGCCCTAATAGATGGCTATCAGTGCTGTGCTTCTTAACTCTTCTAAACTTCCCCCATTACTTTTTAGTGCACACTCAATTAACTTTGTGGCTTTGTGTGGGTCCATTAGCATTTAAAGCAAATGGCTTTATTTCTTGCACAAGGGTTGTCTGTTCTGGAGGCTTCTCTGCTTTGTGATGGATTGCAGTCCTCCCATAGAAGTACACTACTGCATTGTATTGTTCTTGTTCCATGGTTGTGCTTTCAAGGCACTGTGTTGTAGATCAGTTCATTTGACTATATATATTTATATCTATCTATCTATATATATATATATATATATATATATATATATACATACTTATTTTTAAAGAAATGGATACACCTTCAGCATTTAAAACTTCAGTTTTGGCTGTTCCTCTACCTATTGGAAAAGGTAGAAAAACCGTAGTTCTGCTTAAGGGATTTAGAAAGCTTCATTGTGATTTACAGGCACGCCAAACTCTGTATTTTGGGACTTAAAGCTGTAATCTTCCTCCTCTCTAAAACAGAAGGCCCAGCCCCACGGCACGCACCCTCCTGTAGGTAGTAGCCCTCAGTGTGGCAGCCTCTGCCCTATTTCTTGGTGCTGCTCAGGCTGTGGCTGTGTCCCTGTGTGTCCTCCATGTGGCTGCAGGTCAGTCAGCACCTCGGTGCTGCCAGAGCCAGCCGTGGTCCTGGCAGTGTGAGGGACAGATGACTAACAGTGCCCACATTGGTTTGGTGTGCTGTGCTGTGGAGGCACAGGCAGTGTTGTGTCTCTCTGAAATGCTTTTTTTTCCCCCATAAAATATGTAAATGGAATTACCTGCTTAGTCAGAAATGTTCGTTTCTTGTAATACTTTTCAAAAACAGCCCATGGCAGAGGCCTGAGGAAGGACAGAAGTCTGTAGATCTCCAGAATATTCTCCTGCCCTCTCAATTTGTACTTTGGGGGTTTCCTGCTCTGATTGTGGCACGATGTGATGGTATAATATGGTGACAGCCACGAGGCTTAATTACAAGCTCTTTTGGAATCCATGTAACGCTGCTACTTCTCTAATGCAGCATTAACATCTTCAGATGGGATGTGCAGTGAGTTGTTATTGCTGCCATAATCCTTCTTATTGAGATGTAATCTGAGACTTGTTCTTTGTCATGAACCGTCTCCAAGCTTTTCATCTCTGCGTAGGATCTTCCAGACAGCTGAAGCTGCACCTAGAATACAAAATACTTGTTCTGCTTGTGGCCATGTCTTTGTATAGAATATTTCTTGGTCTAGAATAAGGCTGCTTTTTTTTCCCAATTGGTGAATGTACAGGTGTGCTCCTTCATTTTTCAAGGATGTAGGAGCCCAGAAACTTGCTGTACGTGTTTCTCACCTCCATGTTTCTGGAGCAGTTAATTACCTACATACATCACACTAACGTGTAAAGAGATGCAGAGCTTTGGACACTGCGTGTTTGGCTAAAGTGATCATTTCCATCAGAACAAAGATCTTCACACTGGTGGTGGGTGCCTGGAAGTGAGCATGGAAGATGAAGAGCCCAGCATCTCCACCTCCTCTGTGGTCTTCACTTTCTAGAGGATATTTCTTCAGCTCATGAACTTCTGTGACTAACGAGTGAAAGGAGGGCTGTGCATTCATGGCTGCAGTGGCAGCTACATTCACAGGTTAATCTCTCAAGCTGAAGCTGCAGTACTATTTCAATTACTTTTCTTATCTGAGGGCAGTTAACCATTAAGCTAAACTACGAGCCGTATGATTCTTGCTGGAGCTTGGCAGAGGTACCAACTAGCAGGGACTGCAAGTCTTCATTTGTGTTCGTCGTCCTTCACAAGAGCAAACGCTGAGGCAGGCAGACTGCCTTGAATGTATATGTGCTGCATAAGGAGCATCAAAATCTGAGCACAGAACTCATAGTTTAAGGAAAAAAATCAAAGTTTTCAAGTGATTTGAGTAGATGGCAGGGTCATCCTTTAGGAAATAAATCCTAGAGCATCCACTGTTTAAGTTGCTTGCTGTAACTGTGTAGTACTGCTTTGAACGTGGCTAGTTTAAATTACAAGACTGTGCTTATGTTAACTGGATTTAAAGAGTGGTTTAGGATGACTTTTTGAAAGCATCACTTTTTGTCACTTCAGGAGCTGGAGCAGCAGAATGTACTGCTAGAGGTAGGGCTGTTTTTTCTCCTGATGAGAACAGAGCTGCTAGTAAATTGTCCTGCATATATGGCAACCTGCTGGAGACTGATAACAGCATTCCTGCAAGGGAGAAAATTGAGGCTAGAGTTCTATTACTGAAATGGCTTCTGCCTGCAAAGGTGATGAGTTTTGGCACCTGATGGAAGAGGGAATGACAGTTCGGATTCACTTGCTGCTTCTTACTTACTGCAGAACACGTGGATGTTTGGGGGTGCAGGAGGATGAGGATGTGATGTAGGTAGGGTTAGGGTGCTGCTGGGGGCTCGGTCTCTCATGAATGGCTTTCCTGTCTGTGGGATTCTCATCTGCTCTAGAAGCTGAAAGGTAAAGGTTGAATGAGCTGAAGCACTCTTTGGCAGGAGATAACGTAGGGCTTCTGGGCGCTCAGACCAAGCTCTCAGCTCATAGGTAATAATTTCAGCCTTTATTTTTCTGTTGTGTCATAGGAAATCATAATGTGATGAGGTAATGAAAGGATTAAAGCCTTCCTTAAGTAGTTCAGGCTTTTACTTTCATTTGGATATAGAAAAGCTGTATTTAGGAATCATTTTTTTCGCCTGAGGTTTGGAAGTCTTTTCTAAATGGTTTAAGCTATAAATACAAGTTACATTCAGCGTGTTATTTTTCCAATGCAAACAGTTGTGTGGCATGGCTAGGTGGTGCTGCTCTGCTTATCCTCAGGAGGGCTCTTTTGTCACTTCTCCAAGCAGTCAATTTTTCTTCTGGTGGTTTCCACTTGCAACTTTGACTTGCTTCCCTAATGGCAGCATTCTTGCTGCTTTGCTTCCATGGGGTCCTTCTGCTAAGCTGGTTTTGTTTGTGTCTCAAACTGTCTTTAAGGAATGTTTTGGGTGCCCCTGTCAAATGCACTTCAAAGAGTGTCAGGCAGTTCCTTTGTGTAGGTGCTCACTGCCTTGTTTGGAGCATTCCTCTGTAAAAGCAAGGTGTAACTGTAGGAAAGGAGGAGGGAGCCTATTTTGACAAGTTATCATTAATGCACAGCTTCTCTTGAATGGTTTGAAAGATGTTTTAATGATGAGAATAACTGCGTGACCTTTTCATCCTAGAAATGGTTGAATCAATGAAGAAAGTGGCTGGAATGGATGTGGAGTTGACAGTGGAAGAAAGAAACCTGCTTTCTGTTGCGTATAAAAACGTGATTGGAGCCAGAAGAGCTTCCTGGAGAATAATCAGCAGCATTGAACAGAAAGAAGAAAACAAAGGAGGAGAAGATAAATTAAAAATGATTCGGGAATATCGGCAAATGGTAAGATTTGTTGGTGCTGGAGCACAGCGCCGTTTGGCTAAACAAAACCTGGACTCTGGGTTTGTTACCCTGAAGTTTAAGCACTCCCATGTTTGTAGGAACAGGGAGTATTAAGATATTGTGGTCATCTCAACTGTGAAACTTGGATGTGTAGTGAGCTGTAGGGCCTTGCTATTTTCTTCCTTCAGAAAGGGGGGAAGAATAGATGGAAATAACTGACTGGTGAGTCTAGTCAGCCTGTGCAGCTTTACCTAAAATGGAGAACTTGGAGCGAGCTTAGCCTTTCATCAGTGAGGGCTAATGAAACGCTCGGCTGTTAGAACAGGGAGCTGTTCCTGCCCCCACCCTGGCCTCCTTAAGTGATGCTTTAATGTGGAGCAGACGTTCTCCTGTAGAAATGAAATCCGACGTGTTTCTGCAGAGCCTTCAGATCCATCCCTGCAGGATCAGTGCCTCCACGGCTCCCATCTTCACTTGCAGAGAAACAGTGGAGTGTCTCTTTTAACCACCTGGCACTGATTCGTACACTGTCAGTGGAAACGATGTTGGCTTGGAACTCTCTTCTGAAGAATGGCTCTGGACTGCTTTCTTTTGACTCATAGCATTTGTTTGCTCCATGGAATTGTTCAAGTTCGGAGTTTCTAATTTTATACTGGCGTGCTGATGGGGTGAAGCTCTGCCAGTTACATACAGTCCCAAATACCATTTTTTGATGGGTATCTGAAGTCTTCCTAGCAGAGCATAAAAATTAAGGCAGTATCATTTGTTTTAAACTTCATGCTTTCAAGTTGTGGTGTTTTGGTGTTTTTTTTTTTTCCTTTGCTTGACATTTTGTGGGCAGTTTATTATCTTTTCAGAGATCCTTTAATAGTGAGAAGACTTTTCATTGTCTCTGGATGTCTGTAGAATACATTGTTCTGCATTTCTATTTAAAGCAAGCAAGTGCTGTGCAGAGCAGACTGACGAGCAAGAAATGCATGCAGTCCTTGAAGTAGTGCATTGAGATAAATGTACGGGCCACACAGAGTGCACTGCTGTGCAACAGTACTTCCATCTGTTAAATTCTTCAAGGAAGAGCCATCACAGGTCCTTCTGGGTGCTGTAGGCTTTAGGTGGAAGAATGCAGTGGGGAGCACAGGAGTGCATTTCCATGCTGAAGAAAGAGCAGATGTGTCTGCCTGCCTGGCCTGGGTGCCCCGGAGGCTCGTGCTGTTGGCTGTAGCCGAAGTCCTGTTTGTAGTTACTGGAAGACTTACCTGGTACATGGAGAGCATTAATGGGTTGGTTAAGACAGAATTTGAGCAATAAGGGCCTAAAGAATATATGCAAAGTTTTGGGTGCAGCTTCTCTTTCGCTGCTGAGAGCATGAGAGCTGCAGAACTGCCCTGCTGTCATACTCAGTGCTTGGGGGAGCAGGTGAGGTCTGGAGAGTTGGGGTTATCTTGCTTACTACCTGTCATGTCAACAAATACATACTGCTACTTCATTTCTCATTTTCAATTGAATGTTGTTAAGAGATCCTTCCTGTGCTTGCAAGACTTCGAGGAAGAAGAAGGGGGAAAAAAGTGCTTTTTTGGGGGACCAGCAGGCCAAGCTTAAAGTACTGAGGAGTGGACAGGAGCACTGGTGGAGAAATCCTCCCCTGTGACCAGACCCAGAGGTGGGCTGGCACAGCCAGAAATTGCTGCTTGAGTTGAAATAAAAGATGTAGTTTGTGTGCAAGTAATGGACGTTTCTTGTCTGTGTTGGTGTTTGTTATAATTTAACAGTTCTTGGTTGTGTTCAGACTCCATAGACGTTAAGTTACGAGCCAGTATGACTTGGGAAGCATCTCAAGGGGTGATGGTGTGAGATGTTAAGACAGATGTAGCAGAATGCATTGTAGCCATGTGGAAAAAATGCTGCCTATGTGATTCCTGCTTTATTTTGGGCGTGTGGCCACGTGGATGTGCAGAAGTGGAGCTCCTGGCTCCATTGCATCTCTGTGGATGAGAACACAGGCTTTCTTAGCTTGTCCTTGAGCGGATGAAGCAGCGTGTGTTTGCAGACGGTGCAGCTCACATCCTCGCTCTAAGACCAAATCCCTTCACTAATAGCATAGGCCAAGTGTTCCCCTCCCCCTTAAGGTCTGTATTTACGTGTGTTTTAGTGCTTGTGTTTAGCAAGCTGGGCTGTGTTTTGGGGAAGCTGCAGGGCTGCCTTCGCCTCTTCGTACATAGCCTGCATGTTAGGCTGTGTGTTGATGTGCTCTTTGTTTTTCAGGGGCACAAGGAGGAAGGCAGCTCACAGGTTTCAGCAGCTGCTGCCTACTGCACTGGTTTCATGGTGCATCCCAGTTATGAGGCACAGCTCTTCTGTGGGCTAAATACTGAACTAGGGCAAGGAATTAGAGCAGGCCCCGACCTCCTGGTGGTTTCCAGTAAGTTTCTTTGTTGCAGTCGCCAGGTGGTTTACAGGGCTCTGTACCTGCAGAGCTGAGAACACAGTCTGAAATCTGCTTAAACTAGCACTGCTATTAAAGGGAGGCACAGTAGTGACCACTGCACACCTACTGGGATGAGCCATCTCTCCTTGCCAGTCAGAGCCTGTAGTTCTGTGTGTTGTGTTTTGAGCTGTAAAACTGCCTGTTCCGAGTGCTCTGAACAGGCGTAGTGTGGGCTCCCGTGCTGGCTTTGCAAAGCTCAGTGATCCAGTCTGAGTGAAGATCCTTTTTATAAAAGATCTCTTAGGATTTGGGGAGAGGGGAGTGGGCTGTGGGGTGGGGTGGGAGGTTTATTTTTTGTTCTTAACTCAGTGTGCTGGTCAGCAGCTGATCTCTGGTAACTCATGTGAGTGATCCTTGAAACACAGCTGAAAAAGGTCTGAGATGAAATGGAACTTTGTATATGTGTGGTTTAACAAAAGAAGATCAGAAACTGATTTATTCTTTGCAGTTTTGCTGAAGATCTCTGCAAAAGAAGTCATTGAGAAAGAGGATCAAGAGGAAAGAAGTTTGCAGGAACTGACTGCTGGCAAAGGTTTTATAGCTTTTGTAGCACAAGAATATATGAAGTAGATACTTCAAGTGACCATATTTCAGCAACTTCCTTAAGCATTTGTCACGTAACTAAGTATAGCAGTTAACTCTCCCCTTGAGTGTTGGGGCATCCCGACATTGTTTACACAGACATCTGCTGCAGATGAATTTACCTAAAGGAGCTTTTCCATGTCTGTAACTTGGTACAACTTGGAATGTGCCAGTTTAACTGCTTTTAGATCTGCACCCTCAAGAGCTCTTGAGGGTAGATGTGGGTACAGACCGTGATGGTTTGGGAGCTCTGCAGTGATGCTGCATGGTGAGAGCATCGCTGTGTGAGAGAAAGCTGCATGGTGGAGGGCTGAGAAGGGCAGTGGCTGCCTGTGGTGTGAGATGGGCAGCTCATTGAAGCTGATGTTGATGCCTTCCCTTGAAAACCTCTGCTTTACGGAACCTAACAGTGGCTTGAGCCAAAGTTGTCTCTAGCTGTTACTGTGCAAGTTAGTGCTGAATTGTGAGAGAGCAGTGGTGGGTTGCTGTGCACTTTGCCAACCCCTCCTACTGCGAGTAACAAGGAATGCTTGGAACAAATCTGTTGTGGGCAATGCTGATGTGCCAAGACAGTTTTTAGGTTGTTTTTCTTGAAGGTGCTTCATTTCTTTGCTTTCAGGTGTGACACTTCCTATGGTAGAAACCAGCCTTGTAACCCTTGCTTTATATTCTAAATCAGGAAGAAGAAGTGATGTGGCCGTTTCCATCCGTGGCTGTTAAAGTCCTCATATAAGACTTTATTGGTTTTCCTTTGTTGCTGACCTTGCTGTTAGTGCTTATGGTTTTTGCTGTGCTTTGCTTGTTTTATCACCTGCTCCTGAAGTTTGTATTTTTTCTGGACTTGTTTCTTCTGTCTGACACTTTTGATCTGTTATTACAGGTTTTTGTTGTAGGGCTCTCTGTTAGACTGTGTGTCCCAGGTGGGCAGTGACAACCTGTTGTGAATGTGTAGCTTAACCCCAGGGATGAGATGGAGTTGAGCATTCAGATTGTTCCCCTTCACCATTACCACCTCAGGGCAGCCTTCCAGCTCAAAACTGTGAGGCATTGGTTGTGCAAGTCTTGCAGTGAGGAACGATATGCTGAGACAGACGTAATGCAACTGTCCAGCAAGATGTTTTCCAGGGAATGTGTTATTCTGTTACTCAGTTATGCATTTCATCATCCATCAGTCCTTGCCTCTGTGTCCCAGCTGATTGCCCCGTGCTGTTTTTGTTTAATGTACCTGTGGACAGCTGAATTGTTATTCTGGTTTTTGTTTTCCCCCTCCTTGGATTTCTGTCACCTGTTTGATATTGTTTTTGCAACAGCCTTTCAGTCTCAGTGCTGACCTTGCCTCGTTGTGGTTATTTTTCTTTTTAGGTTGAGACTGAACTGAAGTTAATCTGTTGTGACATTCTGGATGTACTGGACAAACACCTCATTCCAGCAGCTAACACTGGCGAGTCCAAGGTTTTCTATTACAAAATGTAAGTGTTGCCATGCGAGGCGAGGGCTGCATGTTGGAGCTGGAATAGATAACAAGAGTACAGTGGCTACAAATGGTTGTTTTTCTGCACAGTTGAGGATGGTAATTTCTTCCTGGAAGAGGGCAGTTCAGTTGTGTGTAATGAATATCCCTTTTTGTCTGCTTTTGGGGTGTTGGTGGCAGACAGAGCTTTAGGCCAGTTCAGAACAAGATGCTCAGAGCTTCTCAGGAGCTGTTGTGCAGATTTGAAGTGTACTAACCATTTTCTCTGAGGTAATACAGGGTCTCATCTCTGCTGTAGTGCTTCCTTGTATGAGCTGTGATCGTCCAATCTTGAAGTGTCTTTAAATGATCCCCTCTATTTGAGGTATCCCTATTGCTGCAGGTTTAACAAAACCTCGCTATTAGTTGAGGTGCAGTTGTACAGCTGCACAGGGGGGTCATGGGGAGAACAGTACTGTGACTTCTGTGCCAGTGCAACAGAAATGCAGATATTTTTTTCCTGCTCAAACCTCGGCTTGAAACTCACCGAGGCCCTGAGGTCTGGACAGTAATTCAGCAGTAACATCCCTTACTGTGTAAATGTATAACATAGATTTTGGAACTAAGCAGTTTTTGTGGCTGGTGTGGAAGTAAAGACTAACGAGTTCTCGTTTGTTCTGTTCTTGCTTTCAGGAAGGGGGACTACCATAGGTATCTGGCTGAGTTTGCCACAGGAAATGACAGGAAGGAGGCTGCAGAGAACAGCTTGGTGGCTTACAAGGCTGCTAGTGATATTGCAATGACAGAACTCCCACCAACACATCCTATCCGCCTAGGACTTGCCCTCAACTTCTCTGTATTCTACTATGAAATTCTTAATTCTCCTGATCGTGCCTGCAGGTGACTGAGAAGATGGGGGGGGATTTTCTGTGAATGCTCAACAAGCTGAATGTGATTCCCAGTTGGGTGTAATGTCTTTTAACTCAAACACTGGGCTGGCTTTTTTCTTGCTTTGTTTGAGGTTAAGGCTTTCAGCTTTTCCTTTTCAGCCCATTTGCATTTGTTTATCTGAGAGTAGATTATTGGGGAAGCAGAACAGCATTAACTTTGGATCAGTGAACCAGCGGCAGCTTGACAGCTTGCACGTTAACTGTGCACGTCCTTATCCTCAAGAAGTGTAACTGAACTTGGCTCTTGCTGCTGGCTCCTCAACAAGTCTTACACAACGTAGGAGAGGTCGTGGTCACGGAAATGAGTGACATCTACAGAATTATGATCTCATCTGTCTTTAGGGATTTAGTTTGCATGGGCATGAAAATGAGGAACAAAGCAAATGGAGTATTTCAGACCTGTCATTGCAGGTTAGGTAAATACTTTCTTAAAGCTTTTAGCGAACAGCAGCGCTGCAGGGTGTAGTAATGCTTAAGGAAACATAGATTGAGTCAGAACTGTTCTTAGGCACACAAAGTAGTCAGTTTTGAAGAAGAAAAAAGTCATAGAGGCTGTGGTTGTCATACAGCCAACTAGAAGATGGGTGCTCTGAGTAATGGGCTCGGTGTGTAGGCTTCTGAATTCCCTTTCTTAGTTGATGTTAAACTGGATTTATTCTGTGCTTACAGGTTGGCGAAAGCAGCTTTTGATGATGCTATTGCAGAACTGGATACGCTGAGTGAAGAAAGCTATAAGGACTCTACACTTATCATGCAGTTGTTACGTGATAACCTGACACTATGGACTTCAGACATGCAGGGTGATGGTAAGTGAGCTCAGCTCTGAACTCCTGCCTCTCCTCATTCCTGCCCAGAAAACATTTAGAAAATATTTACATCATGAATGGCAGCAGTAAAAACACTGACAAGGAAACTCTGTCCGCTAAAGGTGTGAGATAAGTAACGTTGTAAACATCAGTGGTTATTTTAAAAGCAGTGGCTTAATTAGTCTGTTTCGTTAGTCGCTTGTCACATTCATCTTCCAGTTCCCCTTTCAACCAGATATGAATTTCCAGTGCAGGAGGAAGTATTGTGAGTGGTCTGGTTCCTTCTCAGGTCACTTCTGATATTTGGATGTTTGAAAAGCTTTTCCTTCTTGAAGTACTGCCAGCAGATGTTAGGCTTGTGCCTCCACAGAGGGCATTGCCAGAGCAGAGACTGAGTGTCCCCAGCATGGGGCAGGGAGCGCTGCTGACTGACAGCTGGCAGTTAGTTGGTCCTAAGGAGGCTTTTTTCTCTTAGACTCTGGCATACAGTGCCAGGTGTAAATTGCATCGTTTGCCTTGTCCCACTTCTGGCAGTTTAAACATAACTTTATCAAGAGAGAGACCTTGTGCTTTTTGTTTGTTTGTTTAAAAAAAAAAGTTCTGGGAAGAAGTTTTCAAAAAAGCTGTTTTTTCTTTTACCTTAAGAGAAGAATGTGAGTCCTGTTGGAAGCATATTGCACACTTACATACTCAGAGGTCTGAAACAACATTGCAGCTTGACTTCAGATCCTAAATAAAACTGTAGGATGCTTATTTAAGACATTACTTGTACCATGGTGGTAGTCACAGGGCTTCTCTGTCCAGTGCTGTATCCCTCTGAAAGCAGCTGTAGCATTGCAGACTTCCTGCATGTTACCACGTGCATGCTGCAGTTAAAATGTTACCCCTTTTCTTTGGGCTTCCACCTACTGTAGGTGGATCAGCAGAGACACTGCTGTAACACTGCAGTGCTGTTAAGTGCCTTCCTTGCTGTGCTGAGGCACTGGGAAAGAAATTTCAGCACAGCTCACAAGGCTGGATGGCTGATGTGAGGTAATAGCTTTGAAACATCTTCCAGAAGTAACTGCTTGTGAGCTGTGTGACATTTCATTTCATACCACAAAAATGTAACTGTTTGCAGAGGCTCTTTACATACCTCTTTTGCATAATCCACGTTCAGATTTCTCATGTCATCATTAGCTCTGTAGCACAGAAAACCAGTGTTTCTGTTGTTCTGAAGCAGTTCAGAATCATGTTGTTACTGTTCATGGTGCATTCCAGAAGGACTGATTACAAAACTGCAAATACTGCAGAACTGCTTAAAACTCTTCTGCAGCTCAAGTTCCCAAAGAATGCAGTGTTTGAGTGATGTGCACACATGGAGGTGCCAAGCTGTGTTTTCTTACAGCATGCAGTGGATGCACGGAGTGCATTTGAAGCAGTTACTTCCAGAACTCAGTGTCCCAGAATGGCCTGGAGCCTTTAAGTACAGGCAGACGTTAATGGTGGCATTCAGAAAGGTGCTCGCTGCTACTGCTTTCCTGAGGGGTGGTGGTGACTTCCAAAAAGCCTTTTGATCATTTTGCCCACCTTGGGTTCAGTGGTGTAGGCTGCAGTGACATCCTGCAGTGGAGCATTGCTCAGCTGCTGCACCTCTTCATCTCATGCACCATGTTTACCTGTGCCATAGACAAGCTGTTCAGTTTACTTCCACGCTTCTGATGTCGTCTTCATATGATTCCTATTCTCCCCTTCTTTCCTGCTGTATAGATTCCTAAAGGAAAGTCCAACTGTTCTTTTCCTAAAAAGTCTACTTTGTAAGTCCTTGTCATGGCTCAATGAGCTTTGCAGCCTCAGTTTTCCTCTGATCACTAATCATGCTTGCCTCTGTCACTGTTTTGCTGCTGACAACTGCTTGTATCTTGGGCTCCATCGCAGGGCTGAGCGATGTTCTGATCTCTGACCTGTAGCTCAGGTCTGATACATGTAACTAAGTTCCAGCGTAACCCCAGTGTTTGGGAATTGAGCTGCGTACCTGGATGGAATATTAAGAATATTTAGGCATGAAAAGTACTTCCACTATTGCCTGTTACAGGACTATTTGCTTAAGTGCATTGGCTAGAGCATGCTCAGATCTTCTAATCGTCATCTTTGCTTAGGGCCTTGGCATTCTTCATTTGAACAACCTGTTTTTGTAGTTCTAAATGTAAATTTTGTTGTTGAACGCCACGTAGCCTGTGTTGAGAGAGTGTCAGGGATTGGAAGGGACCTCGAAAGATCATCTTAGTCCAGCCCCTCTGCCAGAGCAGGAGGCCACTCTCCCAAAGTGTGCCTTGCGTTGTGCCTGGTGGTAACTGTGGATCTGGATATGCTCTGAGCAGGCATTCCGATGATGTACTAAAAGTCATTGGTCTCATCTGAGTGGGTTTCATTGCAAATCATGTTTTGGACAGTTCTTGTTTGTGTGCCTTTAAGAGAGTGCCGCGTCACCTGGCTGAGGATCATTGTGAAGAAAGCATTTGTTCAGTTTGCAGTCAGTTAGCCTAATGTTGCATGCACTGTGGCCACAGCTGCAGTATGGTAACCTCTCCCTGCTGTGGCAGGGCTGTGAGCATTGCATGCACCTCCTGCCTGAGCCCTTAGGGTGGGCTTCCATTGCACTGCATGTTGCAGCCTGGTTGGACGGGTCCAAACCGGCTGCTTTTCCATAGGACACGAATTTCCACAAAGCATTCTTAATCACCTCAAGCCCAGGATTTCTTGTCATGTTGGATTTTACAGCAGGGAAGGCGTTCACCTGTCACTGGTGCCATTCTGTAAACTGGACTGCAGTCAGTTGCAGTTGCTGAGGCTGAGTGGGCTTAGGAAAAAATACTGGCGTTCTTTGGTGTTTTTGGTGCACAGTTTGTGGTAGCTGGTTGGTGAGATGTCCTTAGGGATCCCCAGAGTAGAAATGGGGTTCCATAGGAAGGCGTTCTGTGATTAAAGGACCTGCAGCTGCTCTGATGGTTTCCATCCTGCTGTTTATCTCCTGCTCAGCAACAGGGCTGATGGCACCAACAGGCTGATGGCACACAGCTTTCAGGGTGCTGGTTCCTTGTCTGTCCTTACAACAGCGTGTTCTCATGGCGCTGCAGTTATGGGATGAAGGGTGACCAGTTGGTTCCAAGGCTTAACGCCCATGGAAGCTTCGCTCCAGAACTGGCTGTTATGAGCGCGTGTCGTTTGTGCAAGTGTGAGTGAGTGTGGAATTGCATGGAAGTATTAATCTTAGGCGCTTGTTAAGGCTTTCTTCAGGACTCATTTTTAGGAGCTAACTTCTTCCTTACTTCTAAATGCTTCCATAGGTGAAGAACAGAATAAAGAAGCGCTGCAGGATGTGGAAGATGAAAACCAGTGAGACACAAAGGCCAACAAGAGAACCCATCTCTGACCACCCTTCCCCCTCCCCACAAAAACCCTCAGTGTCACTCTGAGAACCACCAAATCTGACTTTTACATTGGGTCTCAGAATTTAGGTTCCTGCCCTGTTGGGTTTCTTTATTTTTATTTTTTTTTTACACAGTTTAAAAGTTCTTAAAGGCAAGAGTGAATTTCTGTGGATTTTACTGGTGCCAGCTTTTAGGTTCTTTAAGACACTAACAGGACTGCATAAAGGCTTTTCAGCATTACTGTGTTGTCTCCTGCCAGCTGTGGTGATGGCCATTAGAAGTGGATGTGACACCTGGAGGCTGTTAGACTTGTAGGGGAGAGATTCCTTATCACGAGGTAGCATGCATGTGGTGGCATTTTTCTTTTTTTATAATTGTTTAAACTGAATTTTATACCGATGTTTAAACTTAATTGGATGTTTAGCTTGAAGTTACAGGTTGCATTGGGATGTATATTGTAGTGGGGTTACTGTAATAAAAAAAAAAAAAAAAAAAAAAGGAAAAAAAAAATCCTTCCAAACTGCTGAAATGTTGCTGAAAAACATGGTGCTGGTAACAGTTCAACAATCCGTGGCTGCTCATTCTTGCCTACTCTTTACTTTTCCTCAAAGCAGGTTAGCATTGAAGGTGGCATTGATAAGCCTGCATGCGTGTTCAATATTTTTTCTTTTCTCCCTCCCCCCTCCCCATCTCCCTTCGCTCGCTCAACCTCTTTTGTTCAGTATGTGTAACTTGAAGCTAATTTGTACTACTGGATATCTGACTGGAGCCACAGATACAGAATCTGTATTGTTCTTACTGAAACACAGCATGGAATTAACATTAAACTTAAATAAAACAAACCTAAATTAAAAATGCCAAATACTACTATGACTTTCCTTTATATTACTTCAGCAAGAATAATTTTCCTCTGTTGCTTTGAATAGGAACGTTTGGAGAGGGGGGAAGAGAGAAGGAGAGAGGAATAACAGCACTGCTTTCCTTCTGTGAGATAAGTTTACAGTTGAGCCCAGCTTCCTCGACAGCCTGCATTGCATCAGGAGGAGTCGGAGCTGCTCCACAGCACTTAGTCAGGTTTCCTTTGAACTCAGTGCACAAAGCACTGCTCATGTTTCTTTTGCTTGCCTCTAGAGGACGACTGTTCCAGTGCAGTTGAGTGGGAGAAGGGAAACACGTCAGTGTAGAGCCTAAGAAGCTGAAGCCCTGGGAATCTTTGTAGGGGTGCTTGGCTCGGTGTGGCAGAAGGCAGCAGGAATGCTGCCCGTGAGGTGGTTTGGACCCAGGAACTTGGAGTTCAGTGGCCTGTGATGTCCAAGGGTTGTGTGTGGAACAGAGGGAAATCGCCCCCCTCTCCCTCCCGAAATTAAACATGCTGAAACAGCTTCTATGGTAAAGACAAGTTTCCTTCATAAAAATTTATTTAGTGTAATCTTGAGGAGATTATATAGTAGCGTATACAGCATTGTATAGTATATACACTATAGGCATATACAGTAATGTGGTGTATATGTAGTACAGTGTATACAGCATTCCAGGCCTGGGCAGTGTTCAGTAACTGTAATGTCAGAAACACAGGATGAGATGGAGCTGATGGTGCTGTCAGCAGCAGCCTTTGGTTACGTGTTATTCAGGGCTTTTTGACTGCTGGAGCTACAGCAGCAGGTTGTGGGGTGGCACGTGAAAGATCTGTAAGGCAGGTTGTGTGCAAAATGCACTGCTGGACATCTGGGAAGGGAAGCTGGAGCTGTGATGTGCTGTCAGCTGGGACTTTGACACACAGCTGCCCACCGTGGGGCTGTTGGGGTTCGTTGTTAAATGAAGGTGCTGGGTGTTCACTTCTGTGATGCAGGTTGAGACCCGAGGGCGTTTTTGTGGCCCTGGAGGCTCTGGGTCAGAATGGTGCTGGCAGCTCTTGTGGGAAGATGGCCGGCTGCTCGGCGAGGCTGTGCACTGAAGGAGCCATCTCTTCCCCATTAAGGCAGCTGTGAGGTGTTGGTAGACACTGCAGCTCTGCTGTGAGAACTCAAACTTCCAGTTATCCCTGAAAAGTTTAGATGGGGAAAAGTAGTTTTTGTGCTGCTCGGAGCTTGATGGGCTGTGAGGGAAGGGCAGGAGCACAGCTCACGTGCACAGCCTGCGGCTGAGATGCAGGTTGCATTTACAGCCTCGAGCTGCAAGAAGTGATGACCTCTGCAGTTTGTGGTGCTTGGATTTTGTTTGGATGCACGCTGTGGTTATGGTACTACAGTATAAAAATATCATTGTACAGCAAGAAATGGGAGAGGTGACTGCAAAAAGGAGAAAGAAAAAGCTGCTGTATCCAGATGAGTGAAGTTACATGATGGGTTTCTCAGGTTAATACAGTCTGTTCGTAAACTTAAAAACAACAAAAATTCCAAATCTCAAACGTAAGTTTCCACATCAGTGCCATTTCTTGTAGTACATCTCTCATATTCAGCTATAAAGTATTTACAGGGTTTTACTCATTTACACAATATGGCTTTAATATCGTAACGTAAAGCATCAAAACATCTCAAAATCGTTCATAGAACACTCTGAATATAAAGTTTGGCATTTCGTTGACTGCTGATGGAGCAGCATTTCTTCTGATTGCGCTTTTCGATGATTTCAAGCACAAATTTTGGTCGTTTCCATCAAGGCTTAAACTCGAATAGAGTCAGAATCACCTCTCAAAGCCCAGCCAAGCAGGTTTTGTGAACCGTGGTTTCACGGACATCATGTTGGACCCGTGTTGTTTGCCACTAAGGTAAGGAAGAGAAGGCCTTTCTTTTGGAACTTTTGTATTAAGACAAGAAAGCAAGATGCGTTTTGTGGGTTTTCTGAAAGTGCAGGTCTTTGGTAACAATAAACAAAATGAGCAAAGCAAGGGAGGCGGCGGGGGTTTGCTGGGAACAATGTCCAGCCCATGGATGGGGTGGAGTCAGATGGAAGAAGGGGTTCTGTGATGGTGGCACATCTATCATCGAGAGTTCAAACGAGGAGCAACCTGCAGGAGAAGACAGACAAGCTAGAAACAGATCCTGCAACAGCTTTAGCTCCTGAATATCCTTAAAGCTCACCAAAGACCGGCCTGTAGAATGAGCCACGGGTGATGTTAAGGGTACGTAAAGCTCCTCCTGTGGGAATTATGAAGCTGGCTGCTCTCAGCAGGAAACAAGTGAGAGAAGTGATCCTGTGGTTATCCTGGAAACCGCCCTAGGCTCAGCACTGCAGGACTGAGCTGTGGGAGGTGGGAGGGAGGGCAGAACTGGCAGAATGTTGTTAGGGTTGGTTTGAAAGGGCTGGTGGAGAAATGATGCATTTTTTCTTGGTATAGGAAGTTGTTTGGGTTGCTGATACAGATAGCAAATGGAGAGAGAGGCGTGGTCCTCGCTTCAGTGCTTAAGCAAACTTAATCTTCCTGTGTAGAGCTGGTGGATGTTCATGGAGCAGGGACAGCCTCTGCCAGGACTGCGTTTGTGGGTTTTACAGGGCAGATTTGTTTGAGCAAGGTGGAAATGCTGAACCCATTTCTGATAGCAGTCATCCTGCAGGAGGGCAGGGGAGTTGATCTTTCAGCACTGGTGCTGCAGTAAGAGGCTCTGGATTCATTCCTGAGCAAGCCTCAATCTGACCAAGCATAAATCAGCTGCATGTATCAGATTAGCAGGAAGACTACAAACAATTCCAAAAGGGAAGAGGAATTGTTCTCGTGTTTTTAAGACCCCTAAAACTTGTCCTGCACTAAAGACAGAATCATGTGAAAGAACCCAAGTGATTGATCGGACAATTACTTGATGAGTTGGAGCAAGCCTGGCAGCCTCCTGGGACTGCAGGAGAAGCCCAGTGCAGAAATCCAACTGGGAAGAGGTTCCTGGACCAGAGCAGTGTGTTCAGCTGTGTGAAGCTGTGGCACGTGTCTGTGTGCAGTGAATGTGGCTTAGTGACAAGGTCTGGGTTCTGATGCACTGAGTAACATTTCTTCCCAATCCCATCCTGCACTCACCACGGTTAGATGGCCGTTCTTGGCTTTGGCTATAAGCAGTTCTGATCCTGATATAAAATCGATGACGCCTTCTTTGCCTTGACCAACTGTAAATTTTATGCTACAGAGACAAACAGGTAAGAAACATAATTAGAAAGTGCAAGCGGCTTCACTGTATTGGTGCTTAATTGCAATAGGTGTACTTGCTCAAGGAAATGGAGGCTAAGTTAATCGTAATTATGTTCTGATAACACACGTATACCTGTAGCCCTGCAATGCTGAAGCAGAACCAACACAACAATGAAGCAGCTCCCAGGGCTGGGCCTGCATGGCTTCACTCACCTGCCCTGGTTGATGTTGATGTTATTGACTTTGTCTGCCCGCATGGCTGTCTTTGTGAGCGTCTCTATCACGTGGTCACTTTGAAGTACAACATCTCCCTAGGATGGAAATCAGTGATGACCTGTGATTGTGGCTTCTCAGTGACTGCACCAAGATAATTGTTTTGAAGTTCACAGAGCTATCTCCCAACTGCTTAGCAAGGAAAGCATCTCTCAGGTCACATTGCACGGACAGCAGTTACTTCCATTACAAGGTAACAGTAATGGGGAGAGGGAGCCAGGACCACTCCTGTCAGTTACTGGTGAATCCCATTTGCGAGCACAAGAAGTGAAATTCTACTTAAAGATGGCACAAAGTGAGTTCACAGTGGGGCCGTTCACCTGCACACACCCCCACGTGTGCTTCTCCCCCACCCACCTCCACCCTGGATCTTCTGCTCTTTGTGCCTCTAAAACAGTTCCTAGAGATGGTTGGAGAAATGCTGGATGAGTCCAACTACCTTCTGTTTGTTGTCCTCACAGTGCACGTGCAGCACAAACAAGTTATCGCTCAGGCTGCTGACGGAGATGCCTGCAACAGAGAGCAGAGCAACATCTGACACTGACCTGACGCTGTGTGCACCTGGTGTGCACTGCAAAACCTCTCCCAGCAGGGCAGCAACTGCTGTTCCCACACTGAGAAGCCCAGCAGCTGAGAAGCTCCATGGAAGCACTGTGCTCACATGGCAGCAGAGAGGCTGAAGAGGCTGCAAGGTGACAGAATCAGCTTATAGCTGTGTTCTTTCATGTGAAAAAGAAACTTTCATGCGCCTCTGCCTCTTAGAAGTAGGAAGAAGGTGTGTTCTCAGTGGATTTGGTTTAAAACCTTGACAGTAGAGATGGCTGGATGAGCTGTGCAAGTTGAGGTAACCTAGCAGAAATGAACACACGCAGTACTACTGTCCTAAGGGAGTCCTGGAACCCCACGTTAGTGGTGGCTGTAGAAACCATTTAAAATGTGACAGTTACGTGTTAGAGTAACACTGGAATGATGGTCAGGAATTGGCTGCAAGGAGGAGTGCTGGCAATGCTGGCAGCTGGAGCTGAGAGGTTTCAGACAGGACAGATGAGAAATGGCTGCTGTGTGCCAGACACACAGAGCAGCTTTCTTTGACAAAGTTCACGCTCTAAAA